CAGGTTGTAGCTTTGTAGAATTGTAAATTAAAACAAAATCTGGGTAAGGCCCTACTACACAATAATTATTTTAAATCTGAACTGAGCCACAGTAATATCTGGATGTTCTGATTTAATAGTCAGCTAATATAAATACATTCTTAAAAATAAAACTAAGAAGTAAAATAATACATTAATTTTGATATTTCATTTTTATTAAAACATTTTAGGTTCGCATTTTTATTTCAAACCTTATTTCAATTAACTTACCATATTTTGGTGATTCTGTAAAGTACCAGTTTCTGTCTAAGTTCACACCAGCTGCGCTATAGTCACCTTTACACAATTTATGTGTAACAAACTTCTTTCTATTTTTTTGCCATAACCGATTCTAAAACATCATTATTCATTATGTGAGTAAATATTTAAATCTTGGTATTATAAGTAGTTTTGTTAGTAACAAACCGCATTCATGCTGTACGCATAACCATCAGGATTCATAAATGGAATAAAATAAAAATCATAAAATTTTATTAAATAGCCTAAGTCTTTTTTTTCCAGTAAATAATTGATAAACTTCAGAACTATCGCTGGAGTTAACCAGTCTCTACCATCTTCACCACTCATTATGAAAACAGCAAATTTCTTTTTGCTAGTTGACAGCTTCAAAATAAACAAGTCACGCTTTTCATATGTTTTTGCTATGACTATTTTTGTTATGACAGCATATTCCTTTTCAATTCTGCTGGCCCATGTAGTTATTGTTTCCCAATCATAAAATCCTCTGTTTCCATCTAATCTGGAAATATCAAGAAGTACTTGATTTACTGCAATAAATAGAAATTGTGCTTTTTAATCGACTTCAAAAAAGGAGGAGGTTCTCAATTCAACTGTTTTTTTTAGTGTTACTTCTGAACTTTTTTCTAGGTGAATCGATTTTGATGATTCTTTTTTTTTATTTGAAAGCTGGAGCTTCTCATTGCCCCATATAAATTTGATCAATGTCTGACCAGTACTTTTTGAGTTTTCCTTAATAATGACTATTTCATTGACTTTTACTACATTTCTGATGTTCTCATTTTATTTAAATTGAAGTTGGTCAAAAGAAGTCAAAATTTTTAATTTTACCACTTGTTTTGTTTGTATCTGTGATTGTCGCCATATAAATTACTAATATTGAAAGTCTGTGATATTGTTTCCTAATCTACTACCAATCACATTATGTTAAGGCACATGAAGATTAATTAATGATATTTAAGAGCTGTTGCTGTGGCATTGAGTTAAGTAGAATAAAAATAGTTACTTACGAAAATTCCTGCAATATTTGAGTATACTGTATACCATTATTTTGGAGTTTCTGTTCAAATGCTTGGATGCAACAATCTTTGACTATTACATCCATGGGTAAAATAGCATTATTTGTGATGTCATTCATAAAATAAAAATATTTATGTTTAACATGGAGATCATAAAGTACAGATCTCTCAAGAGAATTGAATGCAGTTACTCTGTACAGTGTATGATTAGCAAGTGTAAAACTTTGTGTTAAAAGATGTAAAAATACAAGTGTAATCATTGTTTGGCATTTAGTTACTGACTTGAAATCAGTATGGCTATGTGTTAACAAACTACTTTTTTTTTTCTAAAAGACAAATTAATGTAGATTTTTAGTTTATTATAAAATAAAGGGTGAGAATGAGCACACAGCACACAGCCCACCTGATAGTAAGTAAATGCTGTGGCACATAGACACCTACATTTATCCTCTATTAAAAATCAAATTGCAGATTTAGTGTCATCCCTGAGTCTAATGGATTTCCTTGTTACGAGGCCTTTAGTTCTTGTCACTCACCATATAAAAAGAAAGTCATTATGCTGCTGTTTTATACTGGCTTCAAGCGCAAGTGTGATCCATCCCCCCTCGAATTAAACCTATTCATTTTGCAGCAATTATGTGCTGCATTGTCATTCATTCATGTCATTCTACTTACAACCACCACATTGCTTGATATATTATTGTGTTGTCAGAATCAGCTCAGAGACAAGCACTGACCTACCCATATCTAATACTGATGAGTAACATTCATAACTCTGAAAGCATCAAAATATTTTGTACTTCATAGCCCCAAAACCAATGATATGCAATATTATGTAAAAGACACCTTGATTGTCTGAATGACATTATTCTTGCAATTCAAATACAAAAATTAAATAAAACAGTATAATCAAATAAAATGATATTGTTTTCAAATAGAATTTGCTTAAAATTAAGCAAATATTTAAAATATGGCAGCTCTGTTGTCCTCGACGTTGTCTATAAACGTGTGGCTTACCCGTCGGCCGCCTCCGCAGCCTGTATTGCCATATAAGTTTACCCATTTAGATCCATAGATTTAGTATAAATTGACGATATAGTATTGGCAATGCAAAAGAGAAAAAGATTCGTGTAGGCGTGTGTTAGAACGAGAAAGATAGGTTAGACCATTCAGTTACAAAAAGAAAGTTTACCTAATAAATTGCTGAAATGCCGTGGCAGATTTTCATAAAAAATTGATGTTCGACAAAAGTTGTTGAAAATAATAAATAGATATTCCCAAAAGAAAATATTCGACTATATCGAGTTAACCTTTTGAGCGCCTCGCCACAAACGAATTTCCGCGTCCTGTACGCCAAAGCACAAACCGCCCTAGTGTTGCCAAGAGTTGATATATCGATAACATACAGTGACTTATTTTTGTTGGCTTTTTATGCAATAAATTAAGTACTACTTATTATCTGGGATGTTTTCTTTGTGCTATTACCCGCTCCTTGTATATTTGTACTTAGTACATAAATAAAAAACAAACATTACAAATAGATGTAGTAAAACACAGACCACAGTACTACTCTCTATCGTGACGTCACTGTCACGCAGCCGTGTCGCACGTTGTGTATCGATTTCAAAATTTTATGGGACTATTTTTTCCGGGATTTCTACAGTTCCTACGGCACCACGATTTGAAAGCTGATTCGCATAGATCTCGTCGATGATGCCGCCGTAAATCAATAATAATTTTTTTCGATATCTCGATAGAGATATCGATACTCAAATCGAAAAATGAATTTTTTGACGGAATTCGGTATTCTTTTTGGAAGGTAAAACTATAGACAACAAAGTTCTTTAATACAGAGGTGCTAGGGTGTGTCCTTCAAATCGTAAAAACCGTAGTCGTGTCTTTTTTCCTGCACACTTAATTGAAACAGTCACTAAAAATATACAGGTTGTCCCAAAACTCGACGTCAACCCGGAACCGGGTGAAAAGACAAATCATGCTGGTTGTCAGAAAAATAAAAAAATCTAAGTTGCATGTTATCAAAATTATAGGCATTTAAAAAAATACGAAAAATTTCACACCCTGTGAGTCTTTTCACTCCTGTTGCCATAAATCTTTACTTTTTCAAACTTTTTTTTTGTTGTGAAACCCTGAATAATGCTTCACTAAACTGTTATCAAAACTTCAAAACGAGCTGCTCTAGTTTGCGTGAAAATAGGACTGATTTTATTAAAAAAATTCAAATTAAAAAAATGTCTAGATTTAACTGACTGTATTGAAAAAAAAATGTACTACGCGAGTTTGGCAAGTAGCGTCAAAAATTGGCGCATTTAGTAAGGATTACAAAATGGTATATATACACTTGGTTAATTTTAGCTGCAATCGTGGACAAGTTTTTTTTTTTTCATAAAAACCTACCTAGTTTTAACAAGTTTTTCTTACTTGTTCAAAAACTTGTACTTGTATCCAAGGTGTACACAGCTTTATTTTACTGAATACATTTTTATTATATATTTTAGCAATACATAACACATTACACATTACACACATAACACACACAATCGTTACGGGGTAACCACCCTAATTCGACAGTGAAGCAAACGGTATAGTATGATATACCATTTTACTGAGCTCATTTAGCGAATTCAAACAAATTAGTACCTACACGTTTCCTATCGCAGTTTGGTTTTAGTTCCTAACTTGAATTTTTGACACATAAAATGCATATTTTTTTTTTAAAACGGCGTTTCTTTCAGTGACTTTATATAAACAATTTTTTCGGTTTATGTATGAACTAAGTGGTAGAACCCAATTTCTGTCTGGAAAGTCGTCTGTGTAGGTATCGCCCTCTTACCTGGTACCAGTATAAATACAGGCCATGAGGTATACCATCCCAGTCCTTAAAGTTGACAACGGCGTAGCCTTCTTTGTTTGAAAGTGTTCATGGGCTGTTGTAGCCACTTACCATCATCAGGTGGACTGTAACTTCCTTATTACTTCAGTTTTATATAAAAATTTTAACTAAAAAATAATAGTATAATTAACTTTTTATAATATGTATTTTCAGTATGTCGAGAACATTCCGCATTACACCTTTTATTGGATACCAAAAACGATACCTATTTCAATATTTATTTCATTTTTTGAGTTATAAATATATGTCTACAATAAGCTGCCATGGTGGTTTTTATGTGATTTTATGCAGCCTAAAACCCGCGAAAGAGCACAATGAGAGAAGATATCTTATTTGTCAAAATACTATGAGTAGTTTAGAAGTTCGAGGGAACAGATGAACATACATACATACATTGCCTTTGAAAATCGTATCCATCCTTTTGGCTTCACCGCTGTCGGGTAAAAATAATCACTAACATCATCTGCGACAAATCAGAACACACGAATATACTGCAATCGATATCGATAATTTAAATTGAGGCAGGCAGTGCATGGTGCAGCATTATTTGTCTCCCACATATGCATATTTCACTCACACTAGTGTATTTTGATTTTGGTCTCACCTTAATTATTCCATCGCCAATATAATGTATACTAATAAGTAATTTTTAAATTTATTCTCTGATTACATGAACTGAATCAAATCACGATATCTAAAAGCACCCAACAGTTCAGTCCGCGTTTTTTTAACATGTTGTATGTGCTCCAAAACTCAGTGGGCGAAGGGTTATCAATTTCTGAATTATATTGCAGGGGCCCATGAGTATTGGTGGCGGACCTCCTCCTCCTGGTAATGGGCTGCAAGGACCTCCGGGCGTACCTCTGAATCTTGGAGGGCCCGCCGCCGCATGGCTTGCATCCATCAGGCTTGCCACCGCTGCCGTCACATCATGGAATGCTACAGTCTACTGGACCACATTCTGGTGGTTACGCCCACTCTCCCAACCCGGGCTCGAGTGCAGCTTCAACAGCCCCCCCTCCTTCACAGTCTCCAGCTGGCGCACCAACTCAACACCCACCATCAGCGCAAACGCCACCTCATGGACAGATTCCACCTTCAGCCACATCATCAGCTAACGGTGCTCCGCCTTCATCCTCGCCTATGCAGGGTTCTCTACCAGCGCCTGGTCCTGATAATCTCCATGCTCTACAGAAAGCTATTGATTCAATGGAAGAAAAGGGCTTACAAGAGGATCCACGCTATTCGCAACTTCTGGCAATCCGTGCACGCTCGAATCCACAAGATCCGAGCAAAGGACTCTTTTCGAACACTCAACTTAGTCAGCTGAAGTAAGAAATTTATTTATTTATATAAAATTTAGATATTCAAGTTTAATGTTTACTGTTTTCCTTACAGCAGTGTTTCAAAGGTAAAATAAATACATATCAGTTCATAAATAAGTTGAAGATAAAGTAAAAAGAGAAAATAGTCGTATTACTTAATTGTAGTACGAAACAGGATATTATTACTTCATAAAAATAAAGTTAAATGAGATGGCAATAATAGTATTGTAGTAGCGGTGCAAGAGACCATCTGTATGTTGTAGAGGCGAATATGGAAAATGCCAGATCTTATAACTGTTGGCTGATGGTGGTATAACATTTCTATTACCACCAGATGTGAAATTGCCAGCTTGTTTACAGGGAGGACCGTCATAGAAGTGGGCGGGACATCTAGTACTGCGATTGACAATTTGCCTTGCCTTAATTTAGTTACATTTTGTAGCTTTGTATATAAATTCTACTAACTTTGAATAGATTTTTGTAATACATATTTTTTTTATTATACATAAGGACTACTTATAACATTAATAAAAATAATTTTACATTCATGTTGGTAAAAAAATTCTACATTTATGTGTACTTCACATTTGACTCAAACTGGGTAATTTTTGGCTGTCACAATGCAATCCATGCTCTACAGAAATTATCTGATAAAGTAGTTGCTGTTGCCCATAGACCTCCACATCTGTCCTCGATGTGTTGTCACCCATGAGGATTTCTTAGTCATCCTCATTTCCAGTAAAAGGGTGTCCGGTACACCTATTTACGCCCTATTTTACGCTGGTATTCTGAGAGCGTGGTCCTACCCCAGTCGAGCCGACCCATTCAGGCTACAATTATACCAGTAATACGGCAGCATGGCTCTATAATGTATAAAATAAAATAGCAGAAAATATTGGCATTATTTGAAGAATCTTCGGTTATGGCGTCGTCAAAAAGTGTACGTCTGATACTAAGATTCAGTATAAAGATGCTGTATATGGAGATCATAATTAGTGTTTGCTATTCCATTGCCATATTATTTTATCGTTTTATATTGTGCTAATTATGATACCACATTCGCAGGGCGCAGATAGCTGCGTATCGAAACCTAGCGCGGAACCAACCAATCACGCAACAGATTGCGCTAATGGCTGCCGGCAAACGTGTCGGCGATGCACCGCCGGAGTGTCCCACACCGCCCGCGCAGCCGCCATCACCCTACGGCCAGGTAGATATGGGGTTTTATAAGCATTAGCGGTTATTAATAATTAAAATGGTTTTCCCAGAAATCAACGTCAAGCGGGAAACGGGCAATAGGCCAAGTCGTGACAATGGCTGCGTTTGGCAGAAAAAAGCGCTAGCAAACGCTTGTAAGCAAAATGGCGAAACTAAACAGTTTTCAGCCAGGACACGTTTGCTAACTTCAGTAGCGCTGACACAATCCGCCATTTTGCTTATTTAATTTGTTTGTTTTGAAGTAGAGTTTATAAGTTGTTTTGTGCAATATTAGTTTTAAGTAATATAATGACATGAATAAACATATTATACATGTTATTAAAAATTCATGATTGGTAAGTTTTTAATATGAATTCTTTACAAACATATATTTAAATTAGGTTAGGTTCCCCAGTTAAAACTAACTTCGTGTCCTAGAGGAAAATAGCTACTTACGATTTGACAGCACTTACCGCTTACGATCGCCATTTTGATTACAAGCGCTTGCTAGCGCTTTTTTCTGCCAAACGCACCATTTATTAGATAAGCTTCACCATCTGTCTCGCTCACACTAGTCAAAATAACGTCACTCTTCGTCTCAATCGAACTTGTATGAAATTAGGCTTTATTAAAAAAAATTCCTCAATTAAAAAGTAGCAATTAGTATACTATTGTCCGTTTTCGGCTTGACGTTGATTTCTGGAAAACGTGATATATGTCACACTCACAGCTGGGCACAGGTCTCCGCTGCGAATGTTTTCAGCCAAGCTGCTCAGCATTTAAATTTTTATTTTGCGCTATAAAATATATAACCGGCGAGCACTACAGCGAGTGCTCAGACCCTGAGCCTATTAAATCATAATTAGTAAAATAATTTGAAGTATACTTAAGTACTACATTTCATGAATAAAAAATTCATTATATGCACTAATCGCGTGACTATCTACCTCGCGCGTCCGGCACTACGTGACGACCTGTGCATTATCATGGAACGAAATGAAATTTTGAATTAAATGATTTACTTATCAAAGTTATATTGCTGTGTCAAGATTGTTCAACTTTAAACACGACGAACAAAAGAGTGAATGTGTGAACGAGATTATTATCATCTTTACAGGCCTTCATAAGTCCGTTGCTTTACATGAGTCTTCCCCAAGGAATGCCATAAGACATGGCCCTGAGCCATCTGCATTCTTCCTGCATGTCTTTCCAGGACGAAATTCCATCTTAGGTGGGGGGGCGTCCTACATCCCGCTTATTGTTATGAGGTAAACGAGAGAGAATCCTATATTATGAGCATGCAAAATTTCAGACTCCTATTTAGCGACTCAAAAATACTTATCGTGCTGAGGAATGAAAGTTCATGTGCGAGTGACGTTGATGAAAAATAGCAATAATTTGTGTATGTTCCAAAATACAACCCAGTGTACTGTCCAATGCAAATGACGTCATGAATCGACGTTATACTGGTGATTCGTTCCAAAACATAGGACAGTATATGACGTCTTACATTTGCGCCATATTGGAAAAGTGTTGGCGATTATTTTGTCAAAAATAATTATATCCTCCTAATTGAGATACCAGAAATTATTCTATAATTTTTTGTATTTGAATAATTAAAAACAAATTCTGGCATGCTTCAGTCAGCGCACACACAATTAAAAATTGTTTTATTATGGCCGGATATCGGACACAATATGGCGGCGGCACGCCAGTACAATATAGTGTCAATTGATGACGTCATTTATTTTGTACATATTTTTTTTGTTTTTTTTTTTTTGTTTTGGAACATACCCTTTATTTTACTACTGGCAGGCACAGCCGCAAGTCTCTGGCAAGGCTGGCGGTGGTGGCGGGGCGCCCCCAACGCCTCTGCCTATGACAGGACAGATGGCGCCACCTACGCAGCCTACGCCTCCGCTTGTTAATCCGGTAAATTGCACTTTAGCGAGAAATTGAGTCTTAATTTCTTTTGTATTACATTTTATTATATTTATAAATGAATGTTAATTGAGTTAAAATTAAGAAATTTTTTTGGTATTCAAAAACTATATAATTTTAGGTAAATTGTTCATTAAAGTTTAAGTAGCTATTATTTCACTAAAATAAGATTCAAGAGAGAAGATTTTGACCAAAAATATTAATTTTCAAACACTAGATACAAACATATTTTGAGTCAGACTCCAATATAACCAAAAAGAAATACTGTGAAAGCACTTAACCAATCTGATATAATATTTTTATAGTATTTTATATAATGGTACTTTACACCATTATTTTCTTTCATTTTCACTGTCTTAATTTAATTTCAGACTAGTTTGTAAAATCGAACTGGGTTTGGCTTATTATCCACATATCTGGATTATATTCTAATTGTTAGTGTCTGTTTTTATACAAGTAAAGGTGACAAACATTTTCACAGTCACCTGATTTTAAGTAGATACTATGATCCTAAGACACAATCATTGATCAATAATTAAAATGCTGATGTGTTGTCACCTCTAAGGACTAAAATAGAATGTTCCTTTACCGTCTTTGGTGTTCTACGTTCACCAATTTAAACATAGGAGGATTATGCTGCTATTTTTACACATTGGCGTGATGTGAGAGCGCGGTTCTTACCCTTTCGATTTTCAATCCCTCTTCAATCCCACTTTGATTCCCATTCTGAACACACACTACCTGATTTAACTTTAATGCGATATTGTCAGATATAAAGTCAAAGAAACGGAGCTCGTCCAGGAAACAATCGGAACACAATAAGACTATAATAAAAACAATTTTTTTGCACAAATGTTGGCAGTACGTATAGTCGTTGTTGATATTTAGATATTTCTACATATTACATGTGCATGTTACCGTTACCGTTAGTGCCTATCAAAATTCCACTGTCGAATAAAGGCCTCCACCATAGATTGCCTCATAGGTGAGGAATTATCCATAGTAGCCACGCTTGGCATGTGAGTTGGCGACCGCAGTTTTTTTAATTAGTAGCTTAGTTGTTATTAGGAAGACTCTGCTGTCCATCTTTTGGTTTGTTTCCCTCTGTTACTTCTTACGACACCCACGAAACGATATGGGGTTGTGAATATTTTTACACCGCTATTACACGGTCGGCATTTTAGATAGCATACTAAAAGAAGCTTAATGGTTAAAACAGTAATTAAAAAATCCGACTTTGGAAAAAGTTTATTGAAAAGGGAAAAAAATTATACCCTATGTCACTTCCACTACTAAGAGTAACCCAACGACTCCGCATATGTTAAAGCCATTTAACCATTAAGGCTACAGATGGTGTCAAAGAAATTCACACACATAATATGCACGTCGTCGGGTGGTAAGTCGGGTAAAAAGACACGGAGTAGTGTCCAAATACTCAAACGCTACTCAATTTTAAGATGTCGTTAGGTCACGTTATGTCACAGTAACAGACTTATTTTGGCCAAAATAGTATAGTTTCACGTGTAACATAAGAAGCAACAGAGGGAAACAAATCAAAAGATAAAAAAACTGTTGTTGCCAACCCGTTTGCCAAGCGAGGCAAGAATGGCAAATGTCCCACAACTGTGCAAATTTACAAATGGGCGTGCCTCAGGGCTCAATTTTAGGCCCCTTTCTGTTCTTGTATATATTAATCACTTACCTTACATAGTAGGGGATAATAATCATGATATAGTATTATTTGCTGATGACACTTCATTAATTTTCAAATCCCCCCCCCCCTCCACCCTATGTGGCAATGTATGGGGAAGACCTATTTTCTGCAGAGAACTTTAAGGTTTCTATTTAACATATTTTTTTAAGTTTTATAGATTACAAACCAAAATTTTGGTATATGATTTTTGACTACATGACCTTGGATTCATCATCACCCTTCACAAGTCCACTGCTGAACAAAGGCCTCCCCCAAGTAATGCCACAAAGCACGGTCCTGAGCCACCTGCATCCATCGACTTCCTGCATGTCTTACCAGGTCGTCACTCCATCTAGTGGGGGGTCGCCCTACACTACGCCTACCGGTACGAGGCTGCCACTCGAGAACCTTTCTTCCCCGTCGGTTATCGGTTCTTCGAGCTATATGGCCGGCCCATTGCCACTTCAGCTTACTAATCCGTTGGGCTATGTCGGTCACTCTGGTTTTACTGCGGATATCCTCATTTCTGAGTCTATCACGCAGAGAAACTCCGAGCATAGCCCTCTCCATAGCTCGCTGAGCGACTTTGAGCGTCCTCATACGGCCAGCAGTGAAGGACCACGTCTCAGATCCGTAAGTCATTACTGGCAACACGCACTGGTTGTACACTTTAGTTTTCAGAGATTGAGATATACCTGACGAGAAGATGTGTCGTAATTTCCCGAACGCTGCCCAGCCGAGTTGAATACGTCGATTGAACTCTCGGTCGAAGTTGGACTTACCTAGTCGGACTATTTGTCCCAGGTAAACGTACTCGTCAACAACTTCGAGCATAGTGCTCCCAACAACTACCGGCATAGGTGTGACATGGACATTAAACATGAGCTTTGTTTTGTCCATGTTCATCTTAAGACCTATCCGTTGGGAGACACCATTGAGGTCATTGAGCATAGTGCTAGGGTCCTCCAGCGATTCTGCTATAAGGACTATATCGTCGGCAAATCGAAGGTGAGTGATGTACTCGCCATTGATGTTAATACCGTATCCTATCCAGTCCATTAGCTTGAAAACGTCTTCCAACGCAGCGGTGAAGAGTTTCGGGGATATAACGTCACCCTGTTTTACACCTCTCTGTAGTTGGATAGGTTTCGAACTCTGGTTCTGTACTCGAATAGCCATCGTAGCCCTACTGTTCAAACACTTCAGCACTTCGATATACCGACAGTCAACTTGGCACCGCTGAAGGGACTGTAGCACCGCCCAAATTTCGACGGAATCAAAGGCTTTCTCATAGTCCACATACGCCAGGCTAAGTGGCAGATTGTACTCTTCGGTCTTCTGTACAATCTGCCGCAGGGTATGTATGTGGTCTATGGTACTGAAGCCTTTTCGGAAACCGGCTTGTTCGTGAGGCTGGATGTCGTCGAGTCTGCGTGCGAGACGAATGACTCTCGAAAACAGCACGTAGACGCGGCTCAGAAGTGAAATCGGTCTGTAGTTCTTCAAGAGAGCGTTGTCGCCTTTCTTGAAGAACAAGACCACAGCACTTTTGCTCCACGCCTCCGGAGTAGTGCCACCATGGAGGACGGAATTGAAGAGCTTCTGAAGGACTTCAAGTACCGGTGTTCCACCCGCTTTCAGAAGCTCCGCTGTAATTCCATCCTCGCCTGGGGCCCTGCCGTTTTTAAGGTGCTGGAGAGGCATTCTAATCTCGCTCAGACTGACGTCCGGGATATCATCGGAATAGTTTCGGGTAAGACTCGCTCTTGGATCGTTACTCACACTTGCGTGTGGCTCCAACGATGATGTGTACAGCTGCCCATAGAACCTCTCAATCTCACTCAAAATCTCAGGTGTCCCGGAAACGATGCTGCCACACTCAGTCTTCAGCTTTGACAGTTGGCTCTTTCTGGCAGACAGATCTCTGGCAAAGACTTTGGAGCCCTGGTTCCGCTCGATCGCTTCTTTAATACGAGCAGTATTAAAGTTGCGTAAGTCTCGCCGCGTGCATTTGGAGATCTGTCTGTTCAGTTGCCTGTATGCTGTCAAATCTGTTGACGATTGCAGCCTCAATCTTCTAGGCACTGAAAGCGGTTACGTAACTCGAGCTGAAAGGTTTCAGGATTCTGGATTAGAGCACGAGGGGGACGGAGCGTTGACTTCATTAGACGAGACCTCTCCAACTTAACGTTTAGGTTCAGTGTGCCTCTAACCATTCGGTGATCGCTGCCGGTTTTCACCCTTGCGATCACTGAGACATCACTGAACAGTTGGCGTCTGGTCGTCATAATGAAGTCAATCTCATTTTTTGTCGAATCGTCGGGGCTCTACCAGGTCCACTTCCTGTGGGGCCGCTTCTGGAAGAAAGAGTTCATCATAAAGAGTCCCTCTTTCTCCATAAAGTCAGCCAGCTGCTGGCCCCTACGGTTCCGTTGCCCTACTCCAAATTTCCCTAACTTCAGCTCACCGCCTTCTCTTGTGCCTAGTTTTGCGTTGAAGTCTCCCATCAACATCGTATACATTTCCTCCACCTCCTCATCGGGATGTGCCGATGTGACCTTGGATTGCATAAAAGGAAAACACGATATCATGAAATTTTCTCGATTTAAAAAAAATTGCAAAGTAGGCTCTAATTATTTACATTTTTCCATGACACCACAATATTCTTACGAATAAGTTCATGGAATTATTTTTAAGGCATAGTAAATAATCATATCTAAGTTCATAAACCAGTTTTGTAATCCATAACGAAGTTTTGTTAAAATAAATAAAAATGTTGTTTGGCGCTTACGTAGTTATTTTCCGAGCGCTTGTTCGGTATGGCTATCTCATAATTTGCGTACTATGAAGTCATTGCATCACTTTCATTTTGACACTCCATCAGTCGTCCGTTAGCTTCACCGACAAAGGAATAAGCCACGCCCCCAAACTTCGATTCATTTTCAAGGTATCCTCTTAATAGGCTGTAAGGGTAATATAGTGAAATGTGTGCAGCCGGTAGGAGGTGGCCCGCCGGTGCGCGGGGCCGCCCCGCTGCGTCCGCCGGGGCCGCCGCAGCCCGGTCAGCCCGCTCAGCCCGCACACCACCAGGTAACTGCACGACATTCATACATCACACACCATACACCACTCATAGTAACTATGTACTCCTCTAAGACTGGCTGTTGTAAAGCATCTGAAACGTCGAGAATTAAAAAGTTAGAATTAAACGCGTAAAATCCGTAAAACTATTAGTCTTCGCGTAAATATAAGAAATCATTATTGATCCATCATGTCAAACACAATAAAAAAGATATGAAAGTAATTTACTACTTGATGATTTTTTAATCTACAAATATTATACTTTGTTGTACTTGTATTTAATGTAGTATTATATTTTATTTAAGATTGCTGATGGTCCCGGGTTCGAATCCCCGGTCGGGCCAAAATCAGTTATTGGGTTTTTCTGTAAGAAATTCTCAGTAGCAGCCCGGAGTCAGAAAGTTGTTTCACCCCCGTACCTCGGAAAGCACGTAAAGCCGTGCTCTCCAGTCGTGTCGGATTACCGTCGCATCGGTCTCTGAAAGAGAGACCGGGTAAGAACCGAACAGAACAGAGAGTGCACCTGTGCTTGCCGCATACACTTGGGCACTATAATTCTGTCCTGTACAGATTGGCTAATCTCCATTGAAACCGGCCGCCGTGACCAATATCGGTCTGGGGATTATTATTTTTAATATTATAGAATTAAAAATGTACCCAATGTGTTTCGATGCGTACCTTAAAAATTGCGCTGATGCTATTAAAAAATTAAAAAATCTAAAAAAATTATCTTTATTGTAATCATTTAAAATAGATATACCAAATTACATAAATAAACTTTTCTTTAGTATAAGGGTGACAAACACAAACACAGTCCATCAGGTGGTAAGTGGATGCTGTGGTCCATAGACATCTACATTTATCCTTGATTAAGAATCAAAATGCAGATGCGTTGTCACCCCTGTGGATTAAGATGGAATACCTCGTTTCCAGTAAAAATTGATTTCCGGATCCTCTATTCTCACCGTACGAAAGACATCAGTATTAAGCTGCTATTTTACGCTGGTATTCTGTGAGAGCGTGGTCCTTCAGCGGTCGAGCCGACCTATTCGTGCTACAACCATAATACAGCTACAGCGTGGCTCTACCACGTATAAAAACTAGTCAACCATTTATTGATATAAAATATAACATGAATCATTATAAAAATATAAGGACTTACTTATAATTGTTGATTGTTGTTTATTGAAATTAAGTATTAATTATCCCTTTACCTGTCTCTTTCTATTTTGATTTAGTGAAAAGAGAGAGAGAGAGAGCAACAAAACTTTGAATTGACGTGGATTTTATGAATAAGCTGATGTTTAACTTGTACAAATATCAATAACGATTAATTTATTTCTTAGCCTGGCGTACCCACACCAGGCGCCAAGCAGAATCGGATTACAAGTATTCCTAAACCTGTCGGAATCGACCCCATCCAAATACTAAATGAGAGAGAAAATAGGTTAGTACACACATCTACTTTTGTAGATTTAATAGTCACAGTAATAATTTTATAATTTGCATAAATAGAATAGAAGTTTTGACATTAGCTATATCATATTATAAGTTAAAAAAAGTTATCATTACGTAGATATTATAAAGAAATTACTTAATTCACTAATATAATTACAGACATTCTTTTTGTGCAATTTATTGGCACATTACCATACTGTTTTAGTTAATAGTATGGATTAACTAAATTAGCATAACCAACATGTATTTTCTATTTTTGCATTTGTATACATTTGATCCCATGCATTGTTTAAGCGAATTTATAGTGAGCTTGAGTACAAAAAATATTTTAATAATTTACACACTTGATTTTAGGATTGCTGCTCGTATAGCACATCGCATAGATATGCTGTCGAATTTGCCAGCCAACATGTCAGACGACTTGCGCCTTCAAGCGCAGATAGAGCTACGGGCGCTTAGGGTCCTCAACTTCCAGAAACAGCTGCGCGCAGAGGTAATCCACAATCCTTAGATATATATGTCATAAGTCATAATATGAAATTTTACACTTTATAATCTTCTATTTCTTAAAGTTTATTTTTATTTTTAATGTAACATTTTTATTACTTTAACATCATTTTGCAACAAAACTGTAAGTGTTAAATGATAAGGACCTGTTTGCGTGAAATTAATAGATTTTCAATTTTGTATCACACGTAGTTTTCGAGATAGTAGCGGGTATAGACAGATAGTAGATGAGTATAAAGTCATTTTTGATAATTGAACTACTTGCCCAAAAACTATTATAGATCTGCTGATTTTTAAATTCTACGCGGACGAAGTCTGTGATAAAATTCGTAGTAAAAATATGTTTTCTATTAGTGTTTGTCTTGTGCAGATCAGATTCAATGCATTATTTTATATATTTTCGTAGTACTATTGTGGACTAACACTAAATTTCACCCCAGGTAGACGCAGAAGTGATATTTTAACCAACAATGACATAAATCTTTAAAAGTTTGAAATACACTGTCATTTTCTCTTTTACTCTTATGGTTTAGTCAGCATTTTACTAAGCAATATTACGACGATAGTGAACATACATACATATATAGGGTTATTTTACAAAGGGTATCCAAATTTTAAATTTAAGTTCAAATACATAAATAATTATGTACCGTTAATACAACAATTGAAAATACGAGTATATAAGGCTTCTCTTTTATTTGAAATTGTCCCAAATTGAATGTAATTTATGGGCACAATTCACGTTTTAGCCGACCGAGCGATACTTACAAATGTGTGCGTGCGTAGTAAAATAGTAGGCGTTAGATATTTATTAATGACAATCAGTTATAATTATGCATTACCACGAATTTTGAATTTAAAAGATAAAAAGGACAATGTTTGATTTTAAAAAAAAAAATTATTTTACTACGTCATTCGTCTTATATTACTTATTCTGAACCTTCTCTGCAAATTTGGGCGTATATTGCAAAATAACACGGTATAATATTTTATCCACTCTTCTATAGATTGTGTGTTGAATGACTTTTATTTTTTTTTAAAGTTGAAACGTTTTTGGTACATTTAAAAACGTGAACTTATTGCAGATACTAAGTCAAGTGCGTCGCGATACTACACTTGAAACTGCGGTAAACATAAAAGCATACAAACGAACAAAGAGGCAAGGCTTACGAGAAGCGCGTGCAACAGAGAAACTCGAAAAGCAACAAAAACTGGAAGCAGAGAGAAAACGCAGACAGAAGCATCAAGAATTCCTACAAACTGTTTTGCAACATGGTTAGCATTTATATTTTTGAATGTTATATAATTAAGGTTAACAAGCAATTGTGCAGTGAACCTTACCGTAAGTATCTACGATTTACATTTTTACATTTTAGCTCCTGATGTTAAAAAAAGACAATATTAGTACCTAAAGTAAAATAATGTAACAAAATCTCATTACTTTTTACTTTTAACATTCATCCTCTTTATTCAATTAATTAGTTTCCAATAAAGCTTACACTTATGAAACTCCTCCCTTATTCATATTTGCTGTGCTACTCATGCATTATTGTCAAATTGAGAAAAAGAAAACATTAATTAATTTTTCTTTAATACAAATTTAAACACTTGATTGCCCCCCATAATATATACACAGTGATATTACGTAAAGCATCTGCTTTGACCTAAAGGCACCTACATCTATCCTTATAAAGAATCAAAGTCTAGATGCGTTATCATCTGGAATACCTCGTAGCCCGCGGTTCTGGTCACTAAGTATACGAAGTATTCCTTTCCCCCTGTATTCAAAGATGAATATGTTTGGTATGTTCGGATACTCCGATCTTTGCTTTTTTTGTTAACTGTCTTCAGATAAAGATTTATCGGGCATTTCCTTAAGTAACTCTATTTTCTTTAATATATTTTCTTAAATTTTAACTTTAACGTACTTGTAATGCAGCCAAGGACTTTAAGGAGTATCACCGCAACAATGTCGCTAAGCTGTCGCGCATGAACAAGGCCATCATGAACTACCATGCCAACGCCGAGCGCGAACAAAAGAAAGAGCAGGAGAGGATTGAAAAGGAGCGTATGAGACGGTATGATATTTATAAACCAAACAATGTTCTCTAATATTTTATGTATCAAATAATGGGTCATCACAAAGGGGATTTTAATTCGCTAACAGTTTGATGGCAGAAGACGAAGAAGGATACCGGAAGCTCATTGATCAAAAGAAAGACAAACGCCTCGCGTTCCTTTTATCACAGACCGACGAGTACATCGCCAGCCTCACGGAGATGGTCAAGCAGCACAAGCAAGAGCAACGCAAGAAACAACAAGAAGAGGAAAGAAGGAAGAGGGTAATTAATTTTGTTTTGTACTTATCTAAGTTTCCATTGATTTCCTGTTTGTAAAAGAACGACTTTATATAAGAAGGTCGTAACTTTATTTTAATAGGATAAGGTTGACAAACGAGCACACAGTCCACCTAATGGTAAGTGGTTGCTGTGCCCCATGGACATCTAAATCTATTCTCGGTTAATCAAACAGATGCGTTGTCGTCACCCGTGAGGTCTAAGATGGATGCCTCGTTTCCAGTAAAACGGGTCTCCGGTTCTCTACATTCAACATACGAATCACAGCAGCTTTAAGCTGTTATTTTACTATGGTATTCTGTGGGAACGTTGATTCTTCCCCAGTCGAGCCGACCCATTCGCGCTACTATACTACTAATATGATTGCAGCATGGTTCTACCACGTAATAGTAATTCCTTTTTAGTGTTTAAACTTTCATGTTATATTATTATGATCTGTTATCATTTTAAAAGGCAAAGGCTTGTTGTGTCGTCTCGTCAGTGGCACCTGGCCTTATGGATTCTTTTTTTTTTTATAGGATAGGGTGACAAACGATCACACAGTCCACCTGATGGTAAGTGATTGCTGCGGCTCATAGACATCTACATCTATCCTCGATTACAAAACAAAATGCAGATGCGTTGTCACCCGTGAGGACTAAGATGCCTCGTTTCCAGTAAAAAGGGTCTTCGGTTCTCTACACTCACCATACGAAATACAGCAGCATTAAGCTACTATTTCACGCTGGTATCCTGTGAGAGCGTGGTCCTTCCCGGTCAAGCTGACCCATTCGTGCAACAAATATACTACTCATATAACTGCAGCATGGCTCTACTACATATAAAAATATAAATCACTATATCTCATATAAATCACTGTGACATTTCAATAGTAAAATAAAATTACAACCTACATACCACCCATAGCTGGGTGGAGAGGTCCTCTCATTTCTGAAAAGGGAATTGGAGCCTTGCTCTAGTTAGCGGGCTTCACATATGCTGGCAGTATATTTCTTCACCTCGGCAGTGATTAGACCCGTGGTAAATAGAAGTCCTGGCTTGCTATTATTTTGATTTTGATATCAGGAATATGCTGTTGCCCATTCCCATTTCCATTACCCTCTATCACCTCATAGGGTAGTGGATTATCTTACAGCGTCATTGTACAAGTGACATTCAGTGACTTCCAATACTAATTAATACAATTAGTCATCATTGCAGCCTTTCACAAGTCCACTGCTGAACATAGGCTTTCCCCAAGTAATGCCACAAAGCACGGTCCTGAGCCAGCTGCATCCATCGACTTCCTGCATGTCTTATCAGGTCGTCACTCCATCTAGTGGGGGGTCGCCCTACTCCCTTTACTACGCCTACCAATACGAGGCTGCCACTCGAGAACCTTTCTTCCCCATCGGTTATCGGTTCTTCGAGCTATATGGCCGGCCCATTGTCACTTCAGCTTACTAATCCGTTGGGCTATGTCGGTCACTCTGGTTTTACTGCGGATATCCTCATTTCTGAGTCTATCACGCAGAGAAACTCCGAGCATAGCCCTCTCCATAGCACGCCGAGTGACCTTGAGTGTCATCATACGGCCAGCAATAATACAATTAGTGCAATAGGGAAATATTATATTTTTGTCGGATTTTTGACTTAAGTAATAAAACATTAAATATATGTAACACCAATAGAAATCAAGAAAGAAGAAGTTGTTGGAGGGCGCAGAAATAGATGCGTTGGATGACAGCTCGCAGGCGTCGGACTCGCGTGTCAATGTCGTGGATCCCAAGACCGGCGAGGTATTTATGTTTTTAAATTACTTAAAAAGAACAAGATATATAATAAAATATTAATTTTCTATTGAAAATTAAGCTTTGACTATTTAACAGATTGTAACAATAATTATTACAAGTTATTTAAACATTTTGGGTTTTGTGAACATTTTAGATTTTAACTAGACTTGCTACGAATAGTATATGCCGAATACCGAATACCGAAGGCTTCCTGACCGAATAGCCGAATATTAAGCAAGAGTATTTGGCCGGGTAGGATGTAGTGTTTATTCAGTGTATTTTCTCTGAAACTGGGATTGTCTACTAGAAGTAAATGAGTAAATAAACTACTGCCTCAAAATACAAAAAAAAATGTCTTGCATTATTATAATCTTTCCCTTCTAAATTTTAATTACGATAATTCAAGTGCATAGACATTTTATTTGATAGTTTTTCTGTTAATTTTTGTAATACGGAAGTTCAAAGCTGAAGGTACGGTTATTAATGGGGTTTTATATTGATTATTTGTAACTAGGAGTAATGATTACAAGAGAAATACATTATATTATTATATTTTATAAAATAAGCCAATATTTTCATTTTACCAACATACTACAACAAAACATTTTAGTTAAATATTCGGTATTTGATCGAATAGATTATAGTCCAAGAGCCCATGACGACCAGATCTTCGTTATTTTATAAAATTTGAAAGTTTTTTTGTGCACATCCCCTATACAGGTAAGAACGACCAGCGACTGTAGAGTTTGGTTGTGATTACTTGGGCAGGTAACAGGAACTAAATGTATATAAAGTACCTTAAATTGGTTAAAATATAAAGCTCAATTTTTTGTATTTTCTTCGGGATAACTTCGAATTCTCGTCATCCATTGCCGGACACTTATGACAGTTGCTACCCCCTGCCAGACACCCCTAAACTTATATAAATTATAATTATAATTTATTTCTTTTATACCGTAAGTATAGTGTAGATTTCGGCTAAAGCTAAATTTTATATATGACGAATAAGGCGATATTGACGACGATCATGCCATCAACTGGGGGAGTAGTGACGAAGAAAATTAAAATATCGACTATAATGATGAAATTTATAAATACGATTAAATATTTTTACATAGAATAATACTTTTTTTTGTATTTTATAATATTAAAATAACATTTTTACTTTATATATCATGATTATGAACGTAATAAAATCATTTTTATTGGATGTTTTAAAAGATCGCAGTCGACTACAGTGGACTTTCAATGTACCTGGTAAGATGTAAAAACCATAACTGTCCAGCTATTGAGGTAACATGTTTTTATGGGAAATAAGTAACATATACAAAATTTAGCTTTTATACTATAACGAAAGTATAATTATTTTATGAAAGTTTAGGGGTGTCTAGCAGAGGGAAACAACTGTCATAAGTGTCCGGCAAAGGATGACGAGATTTCTAAAGTTATCCCGAAAAAAATATAAAAAAGTTGAGCTTTATACTTTAACGAATTTAAGGTACTATTTTATACACCTTTACTATCTGTTACCTGCCCAAGTAATCAGAACCCAAACTCTATAGTCGTTGGTCGTTCTTACTTTTATAAGAGACATGCACAGAAAAAAAATCAGTTTTTATAAAATAACGCAGGTCTGGCCGTCGTGGGCTCTTGCTCTATTAAAAGTAGCCGAGTCAGCTGAAAACCGAATAATAGCCGAATATTCGTTGCAAGTCTAATTTTAACCCATTCCCTGTCCCCTGTGTACCTTGCTCTTGTATCTGAAAATCTGACAGTGAAAGTGTTTATTTAAAAACGATCCTTAATTTAAATACTTTATTATGGTTTAAAAGAGCTCTTTAAGCTTGTTATTGTGCACACGTAGGTGTTGAAAGGCGAGGATGCGCCGCTGCTGTCGCAGCTCAAGGAGTGGATGGAGGCGCACCCCGGCTGGGAGGTCATGTCCGACTCGGACGACTCCGGCGACGACAGCCAGGACGACGGTATATGATTTTTTATGGAATAACAGTGACAAAAGGTTCTCGAGTGGCAGCCTCGTACCGGTAGACGAAGTGTAGGGCGACCCCCCACTAGATGGAGTGACCTGATAAAACATGCAAGAAGTCGATGGATGCAGGTGGCTGAGGACCGTGCTTTGTGGCATACCTTGGGGGAGGCCTATGTTCAGCAGTGGACTTGTGAAGGGCTGTAATGATGATGATGATGATGAACAGTGACATACGATCACGCAGTCCACTTAATGATAAGTGGATATTGTGGCCCATAGACTGACTGTTTAAGAAAAAAATGCTGATGCGTTGTTACCCCTGAGATGGAATGTCTCTATCTAGTAAAGAGGGTCTCCGGTTCTCTACACTCACCACACGAAACAGCAATATATAGCTGTTATTTTATGCTGATGTTCTGTATGAACATGATACTTTCCCGGTGCAGCCGACCCATTTGTGTTACAACTCAATATCTGCAGCATAGCTCTACCACATATAAAAGCCCTTAACTGCTAAATATATTATTTAATTTATTACTTACAACAAAAATATCATTATAAAAGCATATGTAACGCTGGGCCCTAAACTAAACTCAGCTGGTATCTCAGGACCCAGGCATGCGACTTTACAAAATGATTTGTCACATAATCTAATTGCCATACATATATATGATAGGTTTAACATTATATGTTTGGAATTAGAAATCAAAAGTGATACCCTAATAACTTGAGAATAGCTTGCGATGGAATAAAATAAGTTAAATTGGATAAAATAGCTTAGATCACTCCTGCCTGGTTTTGCTCTCTCTGTTCGTAAAGTTTCCTTACAATCGTTTCAATAAATAAAGCCAATTAAAAAAATCGTTTAATTTTGATGCTGTTTTCAAGTTTGCTTGTTATTAATAAAAAAATTTAAGTAGGAGCATAGTATGAGGGGGGGTCAATGTATTCTCGGTATGGGTATGTTAGAAAAAAGATAAAATTTTAAAATATTTTTTATTTTTCAATAGTACCCCATGATATCAATACATTTATGTACTTGATCGTGAAAAAAGTAAAAAAAAAATACACTTCGTCTTGGCCTGAAAATAATCATTTACAGCGGACTTGAGCTTATTTGGACTTTATTATTAGCAAATCGCTTTCCCCAAAGGTCTTTTTTAAGTTTGGAAATAGAAAGTAGTCACTAGGGCATAGATCTGGGATGTATCCTGAGTGATTAATTTCCTCAACCCCGCAGTCTCGTACAGCAACCTTGGAAAGCCGCGCCATGTGAACCAGTGCGTTTTCATGCAAAGCTGCACTCCCTTGGTCAGCTTTCCTCATTTCTTTTCTTTTATTGCTTCTCTCAAAATGGCGTAAAGTGGCTAAGTATTTGTCTATGTTGATGGTTTCACCTTTTTTTGTGTACTCGATCAATAGTATTCCTTTGGATACACAAAACACTGTGGCCATGATTTACCTACCGATGGAGTGACTTTGAACTTCTTGGGAGGGTCTGTTCCCTTTTTATGCCATTGCATAGACTCCTGTTTACTCTCAGGATCATAGTGGTGACCCCACATTTTATCTCCTGTAACAATCCTATCCAAAACACTTGTTTGGTCGTCTTCAGATAGCTCTAAAACTCCTTACCACAGTCAACTCGCGCCTGCCTAGTCTGTTAATGTAAATAAAGATTATAATGTAGAAAAAAGCAAGCCGTCGCTTGTAATGCTGAGAATGCGAGCGATATTTTTATTCCTTATTTTTTTGTTGTCTGACGGGCCTTGTTGCGTTCAATCGATGACTGACTATTTTTTTAATGTTTAAAATAATATGTAAGACCCCTATAAATATTTTGAAGTGTAGTAAATGAATTGCACATTATTTATTTTTTGCACATACAAACAAGTACATTGCGGCTGACTGACCAGCTCCGTCCCCCATATTCAGGTGATTTATCATCACAACTTTTATTTATATGCAATATACAAGTTGTATAACAATTTTCAGCCTTAGTAAACTAATTTTATTACCTCGACAGGTTCAGCCTTTGATAGCGCACATGTGTCACCTGTACTCAGTTTGCTTGACTGACCGCAGTATATTTGTGTACCACAACGATTGTAATGAACTATAAAAAAACTAGCCTTAGTAAATTAAATTTTTAGGCGCTGCCTCTTGGACCATTTATAAGATTGAGATAGTCATGCAATATGTGTAGGTGTGTATAGTACCAATGGATGGATAGGTTAGCCATTTCTGCTAACATTGCTAGTTTTTCAATAATTTTCACATTTCCTTCTGTAGCCGCTGTGATTGGCCCACCCGGGAGGGGGATCATCTTCGCTGCTTTCCCTGCCACTTTTGAATTCACTTGACCACCTCTGTAGGGTTAACATTGAAGGGGCAGAGTCAAAGATCAAAATGATCGTCACAGAAGAATAGTCTGGTTTTTGTAGACAATGTATTCGGGTATCTTTTTGCCAGTTTTAACCAAGCTTATAAACGGCCACCATTTCTTCATGGATGTCTTTTTGAGTTCTTTCTTGTTTAGTGAAGTGAACAACTGCACGGTGTATCTACGATTTTTTCAACATTGTCAGTCATTCCCGTCGTCTATGGCTGAAGGTTACATAAAAAGTAATGAAGTTTACAAGACGAAAATTCATATTTATATTTTTTTTATTAATAAAAATATTAACAATGCTATAAACATTACTAATATTCTCCTTAACCACTTGCGGTAAGCTTAAATTGCTTGTGTTGCGAGTGGTTCACGCCAGTAGTCGAATGGCGGATGGAATGGTGAACCCACAACCTTTTTGAGTTCGCGGTCCGCGCCCTGTCATTAGGCTACTGTCGCTTCTAATTATATATTTCATTTCAGTTATAAATTTATACTCTCAGGTAGTATGGTTAGCTAATGATTTTTTAAATTACCCACATTATTAGTAAATCACCCTAATACCGATAATGCATATAACATCCATCGTATGTAACAGTAACAGTACAAATAACGACACTTGTGTGACTTTGGGTGGGCCAATTATCAGACGACGTTGTATGCGTAAGCAGCATTTCTTGATATTGTAGTTACAAATATCCAGGTATTGTATATAGTTGGTAACAGAGATAGTTTTTTCTTTCCCGTCCTATTTTTTTTGGGTTATTATCTAAGAAAAACCCATGTAATGTACACTGGTTACATTAAATTAAATCGCTAAAAATTAAACGTCGTCTTGCTTAGCATTAAATTAACACATTTATGAATGTCTTGGAACCTAACCTCAAAAGTATTTTTACGACATTAATGTTTTATCTTGGCTATTTAGACGTTGTTTTCAAACGGGATGATCTCTACTATTTGAAAACGATTCAACCACACTATAACCTATTTCTGTACACAGAAAATATAAGTTACATTATCTATAGGAACTTGGCCATTGTTATTTCTGCTGGTTCGTTAAAGTTTTTTCTTCGTCTATTCCTGCATGAGGCCGCTCAAAGTCCACTGATGGATACGGGCTTCTCCCGATGTAGTGAGAACTTGCCTTTATCCCCACATGTGGCAAATGGATTAACGATCGCAGTAGCAGACGTCTCGCAAATTTGACGCTTCTCTCCGTCGCCGGTTTGGGTATCTTACGTGTGACGTAAACGAGGTGCATACACTGAAAGGTTTTTTTATAATTATTTATTACACATTGGCAAACTTCTAGTTGGGGAACAATTATTTATAGGTCGTCTAAATACTTGTACCACACTGGTGCACTGGCAGACCCACTTGACGCACACTGTTCTGCAGTCAAAAGCTCTCTTATCAAAAAACCACTTCTTAATAATTTAGTTTTTGTTAGGCTCGTCACGGTAGTGTTAGTAAAGTGGCGTCGTTACAGATATGTCCGTGCTTTTAACCGCGTCTGTTGCGAGAGTTGACCAAAGAACGAAAAATACTACATAACTAGCTTGCCAGACAGACGTTGTTCTGCCCTTTTCGACGATCCTTTGTCATATCCTATTAAAAATCCTTAAATTCGCAAAAAAAAATGTGGGTCACTCATGGGCATGAAAACTATCCTATATCTCAAGTTGAACCAAACTGCACGCCGTGCAAATTTGATTAAAATCGATTAAGTAGTTTAGGAGTCCATCGCGGACAAACAACGTGACACGTAATTTATTATATATATATATATTAAGATATTTTTTGACATTTCGTTCTGCCAAGCGTAATAAATAGATTTTCAAGCATTGAGTAGTTTGTGAGATGGTTCCTCTCACGACTACTAAAAATTGACATAAATAAAAACAACATTACATGTTCCATAATTCAATTCTAAATTAAATTGTATTTTAGAAAAGAGAGAAAGAAGAGAGAGGCACAGAGATGAAAGGACTGATAAAGAGAAGTCCGAAGAAGAGAAGGCGCGCGAAATGATCAAGAAGGCTAAGGTAGAAGATGATGAATACAAAACAGAAGAACAAACATATTACAGGTACAACCCAGCTCCTAAAATATTGTTTTTTTTTTTAGATTTTTTACTAAAAGATTGATTACATTCCAAGCAATAATTTTTTTGCTTTTAAGTATTTGGACATAGTCACACAATAACTTAACCATCAGTTGTATCAAAATCGAGTTTAATTAGTTAATAGATAGAAAAAGATTACAATCCTCACGTTACTACTCTTTTATTTATCATAAGCACAATATAATATACATATAAATAATACATTCATATCGACAAAGATATATCAATTACAAAAGTTTGTAATAAACATCGCAAGATCTGCAAGACTAGTTTTTTCGATTTGTTGAACCTAAAAAAATCTTAGATCACATTCTTAATCTCATGGTTGTTAAGCGAGAAATGAAGCTACAGTCTTCAACAGATATGATAGCATAATAGCTAACCACCCAGACTGATCTTTAAACCATGCGGCGACACAGAGGCAATTTCAATACAGCTCGAATTGAGGAAGCGTCCGCAAGAAAGAACCAACTGTCGAAGATGAAGACCGAATGTGGCAGAATCGTTTCCGGGACACCTGAGATTTTGAGTGAGATTGAAATATTTTACAGACTGTTGTACAAAATCGTCGTTGGAGTCACTATATTGAAGAATTACCGACCGATTTCTCTTCAGAGTTTCGTCTACATGTTTGCAAGAGTCATTACGAATCATCTAGCATGCAGATATGATAATTTACAGCCTCCCGAACAATCCAGTTAAAAAAAAAAACTTTAGTACACCTTTTGGCAAAATTACTAAAGAGTAGTCTACGACTTTAGCGTCTTTGCACTATAAAAAAGCCTTTAATTCCGTCGAAATTAGGGCGGTGGTACAGTTGATTCAGCAATGCTAAGTTGTCTGTCGTTATATTTAGTGCTGAAACGTTTATACAGCTGGCCAACAGCTAAGAGGTGTAAGGTTGGGTGACATTATATACCCGAAGCTCTTCATCACTACATTGGTAGACGTTTTCAAACTACTGGTGAGTGTTCTTTTTCTGTGTAGGCTTTGTTAACTACGACATCAGGAAGTCAAATACCTCAGTCGCCCCGTGACCATGGGTGCTATAAAGTACGCGAAACTTCGATAATTGAAAAAAGTTTAAATTAAACGCTATTAAATCTGTAAAATAAGTTTGACTCAATTTTATTCGAGGTTATTTTGTAGTATTTAGCATCTTTCTTCATTCGTACGTACTGTTATACATACTTTAGGGCGCCTCTAGTTTTGTCGGCATTATCATCATAATAAACTTGATAATATCGCAGTTGTGTTTTACACAAACACGACCGGGTAGAAACACGTTTTCCGTTTTATTTTTAAAATGTCTTAATTTTCAGCATCGCTCACACAGTTCACGAATCTGTCACGGAACAAGCCAGTATTTTGGTGAATGGAAAACTTAAGGAATACCAAATAAAGGTAAATACTTATTTGTTATATTTAATTAACAACATTGCTTAATATTTCTTTGTCTCTTAAATATTATTCATAATGTATCGATATTATAAAAGTAAAATCTTACGGGTATTTAAAGGTTTTGTTCATGAAGTCCCTTAAAATAAATTTATAACATTGAATAACTATAATGTCGGTATGACCTATAATTTTAGTAAGTTTTTCTGTGATTTTTTTTAAAATTGTAAGCTTTGTTCAGAATACCCATTAAGCACCACTGACCTAAAACTATGGAGTGTAGAAGTAAGGAGTACTAACTTCCATAGTAGAACAGTTCAAAAAGTGGCCATCTGTAAGCAGTAAATAATAGCTCAAAAACTCTCCACAACAGCGCTGGAGTAGCTACTGGGATGAAATGAACTTAGCATTTGTCGACGGTTTAAGTGTGGTGCGAAACTGCTCAGTAGCTCTAAAATCTAAAATAACTTTATTTAGTAAATATAACCTAGAAAAGTCGTCTAATCCCACTAATATTTTTCGGCGCGTTCTTTAAAATTTACCCCGTAGCTATAGTGGCGCCACCCTTATTTAACGGTTTTCTACGGACACTTTTTAATACACAGTCTGTACTCCTTACTTCTACACTCCATACCTAAAACGTTTAGTGACAGCGTAATAGAATTCACTACCCCATAGTATTCCGTGGGTGTCGTAAGAGACGCAGCGTCGTCCTGATAACAACTCAAAATAATAAAAAGTTGCTAACCCGCCTGGCAGGCATGGTAACTATGTCTATGTTCGGCTTGTAGATTTTCATGTAACTTTTTAAACTAGACCAATTGTTTCTATAGCAGACGCACTATGCAAATACGGTTATGCAGTTAGTAAAGAATGTGTACGTACTTCACTTCTTGATATACATTATAAGCGTTAAATATTATATTCGATTTACTAGATAAAAATTGAAACATGTTTTTTCGTTTTAGTATAAAAAATTATTACTGTTCTTTCTTAAATTAAAACCTACGGCATTAGTTAGGATGTGCCTATTGTTAATGATACAATCTGATATTAAAAATGAAATGTAGCAATTTTTTCTTACCTAATAAAAAATATTTTTATTCATTGCTAACAATTAAAAAAAGTAAAGATACAGCTTATATAATATGTCTCACAGGTGAACAAAGGGCTCTTATCATTTCTGAGAGGGTGTTAATTTCAATGTTTAGTATTCGCATAAATATAAGAAATCATTAGGCTAATCGTAATAACTAAATATTATAAAGAAAATGTTAAAATAATAGTGTATATAATTTTTATTTCAAACTTACTATTTCTTTAGGGACTAGAATGGCTGGTGTCTCTTTTTAACAACAACTTAAACGGGATACTGGCAGACGAGATGGGCCTCGGCAAAACCATTCAGACAATTGCTTTGGTCACTTACCTCATGGAGAAGAAGAAAGTCAATGGACCATTCCTTATTATTGTGCCACTCAGGTACGCTACCATCTAAGTGAAATTACAGCCTATAAGTATATTAATAATATCATTCTGTTGTACACACACCTCTCATTTCTGAGAGAGTTATGAAGTAATTAGTCCGCTGTGACGCTTCAGTACGTGTTGGCGTACATTAGATGTCCTCGAAATATTAAGTTCCTCAAACAAGCAGGTTTCCTCGTGAAATAAGTAAAACAGCGCTTACAATTGTATTTTGAAATTTACTGGAAGCACTTAGATCCTGAATAACCACGGGTCTTAATATGTACCTGTATTGTTGAAAATTATTGTAAAGTTTTATTAAAACAGTCTTGTTCTTCTGAATAATTTTTGTGCCGTATAGTGGCGACGTAAGACAATCCACTACCACATTTCATAACTGGAGATGGAAAAGATCATCCTGATAACAACTCAAAATAATAAAAAACTGCGACTGCCAAACCGCTTGGCGACCAAATAATATACCGCCTATGATGCAATTTATAGATGAAGGAAAAGAGAAAAGGTTGTATCTACCGAAGCTGAGTTTAATACACGTCTCCTCTCCTCCCCGCCCATCTCTGCTTTGGTGTATTTCGTTACCTTTGTCTTTTGATAGCAATCGGAATTTCAACCAGTTATTTAAAGTTTTAAATATGATCATCATAATCATAAAAATATTGTAAATAAAGTATATATATTATGGTGCATACTTACACCGGTTATAATGGTAGTAGACAAGAAAACATAATAGTGTGTATTTATGACTGCTTTTCGAATTAGATAATACAGACTGAATACATATATTTCTTGCGTTATCTGTTGTTGCAATTTAAGCCAGTAAGTAAATACCGTAGAATACTATAATACATACACAATAGAACCGGGGAGTGGGCGGAGCCCGTGTAGCCACTAACATGTCAATTCACACGTATAACTGTCAACACGAGATGCGTTTTGACGTTACAATCGTTTCCAAATTTCGCATGCAAATTATTTAAAAAATGCTAAATTGCACCCTATTTAATATGTATTAAAATTTAAACGATTTTTTAATGATGATCTTGAACATTATTCGAAAAGAAAAAGTCTAAAATGTGTAAATTTATTCAACGTCTTTTTTAAAAAACTATAAAAGTTAAAATTTATAAAAGTCTGTCAATACAGCGAATCGGGTTTGGTGACGCCAAACCTCGTACAAAATAAAGTTGACAGCCATTATATTGTGTATTATAGTATTCTATGGTAAATACAGTAAATTGATGTGTAATCGGGTATTAGAATCGGCGAAACCCACTCTAGTCGGATGGGGGAAGACTAGGCGCGGACGCGAATGTGTAAAGGCAGTATGACATCTGATATATAGAGGGTTATTTTGCAATATACGCCCAAATTTGCAGAGAAAGTTCAGAATAAGTAATATAGGCGAATGTTGAAAAAAACTTAAATAAAAAAATCTCATACATTCTGTTCTTTGAGATTGAGAATGCGTGATAATGCATTATTTTAACCGATTGGCATTCATAAATGTCTAACGTATTGATATATCTTTTTTATATATATATATATATATATATATATATATATATATATATATATATATATATGTATATATAGGATAATTTCAAATAAAATTCATGCCTTATTTACTCGTTTCAAAAGCTGCAATAACGGTATATCAATATTTATATGTTTCAACTTAAATATAAAATTTGGATACTCTTTGAAAAAAAAAACCTTCTATATTCCCATCTATCGAGCCGCAATATCTTTCATATTTCTTTATTTAAAGAAATATGAAGTGATAGATTCTTTTACGCCACCACAACTTGGCGTGTTCTGTATTGAAACCAGTACGCTGTCCAACTGGGTGCTGGAGTTCGAGAAGTGGGCGCCCACGGTGACTGTGGTGTCGTACAAGGGCTCCCCGCAGTCGCGCCGCCTCGTGCAGACTCAGATGCGCTCCACCAAGTTCAACGTGCTGCTCACCACCTACGAATATGTCATAAAGGATAAGGGCGTCCTTGCTAAGGTAAATGTGTTATATGTTAATGTATACATTGTTAATAGTGGAAAGTTAAAAATTATGTGTCACAATAAGCGATGAACTCCTAAAAAACGGCTGAGCTGATTTCAATGAAATTTTACACACTGTGTGCAGTTTGGTCCAACTTGAGAGATAGAATATTTTTTATGTCGATAAGTGACTTTCAATATTTTTTAGGATATATATTTTTAAGGATTTTTTATAAGACAATAGGTCGTCGGAGAGGGCAGAACAACGTCTGCTTTGCCAGGTAGTATATTATAGAGTTTCAGATTATTCTTACTTTAAAATACGATTTATAATTTTGTAGGTGCAATGGAAATATATGATCATCGACGAAGGCCACCGTATGAAGAACCATCACTGCAAATTGACTCAAGTGCTGAACACGCACTACATCGCACCTCACAGGTTGCTGCTAACTGGCACTCCGCTCCAGAATAAGCTGCCCGAACTCTGGGCTTTGCTGAACTTCCTGCTGCCCTCCATTTTCAAGAGCTGCTCTACATTTGAACAATGGTTTAATGCTCCATTTGCTACAACGGGTGAAAAGGTAATTCCTAATGAATAAATCGAAAGCAGATAAAAAAAGAAACGTAATTCACCATGCAAATTTCTTTAAATATTTTTTGGTTTGGTTTGTTATGGTCTTGACTCATAGACATTATTTTAGAATATATTCAGTCTGAGCACACAATTCAGCATATAATTTAGACAGCATTTTGGGGATTATACCCTAAGTGGTAGGGGGGGCCATAATTGAAATTTACACTTATTAACACTCGGTAAGATTTATCAAAGACTGAATTATTTTATCAATTTTTCGATTTCTCAAAAAATCTCTAGTCTTTTATGAATAAAATATCACTAGACCCTAGCCGAGCCTAAATCACTTCTGATATTGCTCTCTATCTGTTTGTCAAGTTACATCACAAAGGATTCAGCCATTCTGAGGTGTAAGCCTGGACAAACGAAAATTGAACATAATACTATAAAGGGAATGCATAATTAAGAACATTTACTTACTAGATTTAAGAACATTTTTAAGAATTTATTAATGAATATTTTATCATAGGTGGAACTGAACGAAGAAGAAACGATTTTGATCATTCGTCGTTTACATAAAGTATTACGTCCGTTCTTGTTGCGGCGTCTTAAGAAAGAAGTAGAAAGCCAACTGCCTGATAAGGTGGAATACATCATCAAGTGTGACATGAGTGGGCTACAACGAGTATTATACAAGTATGTTTATTTATATACTGGCCCCGGCTTCGCACGCGTGATTTTCGGATCTCGACAACATATGCATGCCTTATACATATAAACCTTCCTCTTGAATCATTATGTCTATTGATAAAAATTGCATCAAAATCCGTTGCGTAGTTTATAAGATCTAAGCGTACAGACGGTGGGAGGCGACTTTGTTTCAATACTATTCGTAAAGAATTAAATACAATTTCATGTTATAATAAAATGCAATAAGAGGAATTTTTATAAATATGTATATAATATAATAATGTATGAAAGATTTTCGTACTATAAAGATTATAGGAGTACATCCATATTCAAATATTTTTTTTCTAATTACATCTAAAATCTCGTTGTTATTGTTGATATTTTCAAAATCTCATTAAAAAGAGTGCTTCTTATATTTTGTATTTTAAAATTTAACTCCACTTTTAATTTTTGTATTATTATGTTCAGACACATGCAGTCGAAGGGTGTACTGCTGACAGATGGATCTGAAAAGGGCAACAAGGGCAAGGGCGGTGCCAAGGCGTTAATGAACACTATTGTGCAATTGCGAAAGCTTTGCAATCATCCCTTCATGTTCCCACATATCGAGGAAAAGTTTTGCGACCACATTGGTACTGGTGGTGCTATACTTACTGGGTAATGTTTTTGCTTTAAATTTTTTGACTTTTTCTTTATTTTAATATAAAACCTAAAAATATATATTAAATGAGTTTCTGTTAGTCAATATATATCATGTCAAATTTTTTAATAGTATTATTTTCTGCTTACAGACCTGACTTGTACCGAGTATCGGGTAAATTCGAACTGTTGGATCGTATTCTGCCAAAACTGAAAAGGACCGGACATAGAGTGCTTGTGTTCTGTCAAATGACTCAGTGTATGACCATCATTGAAGATTATCTGTCTTGGAGAGGCTTCCAGTACTTAAGGTAAATATAATGAGGTTATGTGTGTACGTAAATATATTTGTCAGTTCATTTGTGACATTCATATGTTCCAAATGGCTTGACGGATTTTCATTCACCCAGATAGCAGATCAGCGCTTAAAATCCGACCTCGCAAATTGTGTCTCAAACGTTCTGTAAGGCCTAATTTTTAATCATAATATATAAAATTAAAGTTCTATAATTTAAAATTGAAAATAAAACTGTTTTAAAATTAATCTATCTATTCAGTTATTTACAATGAATATTGCTATGTCAGTGATAGCAAATTTAATTTTGATTTTCTATGTGATTTGTTATATATATTGATGAGCAAAGAGATTGCAGTGAAATTCCTTTTTTTTTATAATAAAATATGTTCCACTCCTGGGCACAGGCCACCTCTCATAACTGCGACGGTTTTAGATTTTTTAATATATAGACATAACGATGATTTCCTAGACCGCCAAACACTTCTTAAAACAGTACTTAAAATTGCAATTAATAATTTTATAGGTGACGGCGGAGATCGAACCTGAGTTGCTTGCGTTCTGTCGCATTTTAAGGCATGCGCTTAGCCATAGAATTCTATAATACATACATAATAGAACGGGGGAGTGGGCGGAGCCCGTGTAGCCACTAACATGTCAATTCACACGTATAACTGTCAACACGAGATGTGTTTTGAATTTACAATCGTTTCCAAATTTCGCATACAAATTATTTAGGAAATGTATTAAAATTTAAACGATTTTTAATGATGATCTTGAACATTATTCAAAAAGAAAAAGTCTAAAATGTGTAAATTTATTCAAAGTCTTTTTTAAAAAACTATAAAAGTTAAAATTTATAAAAGTCTGTCAATACAGCGAATCGGGTTTGGTGACGCCAAACCTCGTACAAAATAAAGTTGACAGCCATTATATTGTGTATTATAGTATTCTATGGTAAATACAGTAAATTGATGTGTAATCGGGTATTAGAATCGGCGAAACCCACTCGTCTGACTTCTAGTCGGATGGGGGAAGACTAGGCGCGGACGCGAATGTGTAAAGGCAGTATGACATCTGATATATAGAGGGTTATTTTGCAATATACGCCCAAATTTGCAGAGAAAGTTCAGAATAAGTAATATAGGCGAATGTTGAAAAAAACTTGTTGACAAATAAATATGTATTAATTTTTTTTTAAATAATAATCTTGAACATTAATCAAAAGTCTAAAATGTTTAAATTTACTCAGTCTGTCAACACAGCGAATCGGGTTTGTAGTAGTGATAATAAGACGACGACTCCCGGCGACGCCGACCATCGTACAAAATAAGGTTGACAGCCATTCTATTGTGTATTATAGTATTCTATGCGCTTAGCCCATGAACTACCATGGCTCAATAATAATCATTTGTGTGGAATACTTTGGTACTTCCAGATAAAAGAATAGTACTCATCATTTTTTCAGTTTGTCACAAGTTGATTAGTTTGTAGTATCTGTATAAATTACCAATAACTATAATATCAAATATATCATTTGATAGGCAACTTTACAACTAACATTCTGTCTAAGGCAACGGTGGATGACAAACTTGAGGGAATAAACTTCTTTGACTCAGACTAGTTAGCTTATATTTGGTAAAGAAAGGCTGCAGCTATATTATGGTTGTGGCATAAATGGGTCGGCCCGACCGGGGAAGGACCATGCTATTACAGAATACCCGCGTAAAATAGCAGCTTAAAGTTGGTATGTTGAGTGAAGATAATTTGTTGAACTGGTGACGCTTCTTACTATAAACGAGACATTCCATCTTAGTCCTTAGTGGTGAAAAAGCATCTGCATTTTGATTCTTAATTGAAAATAGACTCAGATGTCTATGGGCTACAACATCCACTTACAATCAGGGTGACTGTGTGCTCATTTCTCACCCTTATACAATTTTAAAAGATGTTTTTTGTATGCACTGCATAAGATTGCAGAATGAATTTTTATTTGTCATCAGACTGGACGGTATGACTAAGGCGGAGGACCGTGGCGAGCTGCTGAAGAAGTTCAACGACGCGAACTCGGACTACTTCATCTTCCTGCTGTCGACGCGCGCCGGCGGCCTGGGCCTCAACCTGCAGAGCGCCGACACCGTCATCATATTCGACTCTGACTGGAACCCGCATCAGGTACAGCTGGAACATTTTTTTTAAAGAACAGGATGACAAACAAGCACACAGTCCACCTGATGGTAAGTGGATGCTGTGGCCCATAGACATCTACATTTATCTTCGTTTAAGAATAAAAATGCAGATGCGTTGTCACCCCTGAGAGCTACAATGGAATGCCTGGTTTCCAGTAAAAAAGGTCTCCAGCCTATACACTACCATATGAAACACAGCATTAAGCTGCTTTATTACGCTGGTATTCTGTGATGTGATCCTACACCGTTCGAACTTAACTTTTCGTGCTACAGCCATAATATAGCTGCAGCGTGGCTCTACCACGTAATAAACATGTAATAAACATCTACACAGTCCCCTTGTTCATACACCAACACATATCTACCAAAGACTTCTATGTATACTACTTGTTGAGCTCTGCGGCCTTAAGGTGGATGCGTGGACCGTCCGCCCATACATTTTTTAACATCATTTTATTACTTCTCTACAATGAAATGTGTACGCGTCTGACCTTTATAGGCAATAACTTACATTATATACAGAGAAAAACAATAGTGAAATCCCGGAAAAATTTGACACTTCTTTAGTAGTGTGCGTGACTTTTGAGAAGCAAACGAAAGGCGACGTTTAAACATTGGCACGCTAGATGGCATCCAAGTGATCTTAAATAATTCTGAGAAATCAATATCTTAAGTTCATTAGTTGGTTAATTTCCTTTCCAACCAAAAAAAAAATGATATGACCCATTCCAATAAAATGTAATATCCGATAACCGCTAAGTCTACTCCTACGATTTAATAATTTTCCAATTACACAAAAATCCAAATAAACTAAAAATGTTGACTTCAGCGCCATCTTGCGGGAGAATGGCTGGGAACAGTCCGTAGGTTTCACCTTAATACATTGCACACTAAGTTACGGTCAATTCTCCGTAAATTCTTTAGTCGAATGCGAGTGGGCGAGAGGTTTATTTATTTGTTTTGTAAACCGCGAATGTTATTTTGTAGGACTAAGAAAACGCTATCATTATTTATGTGCGCATTTTGTCAACGTAATTTTAAGTTTAGCTCATATAAGTATGTAACTTTATTACATAATTGCCTAAAATTGTAACTGAGGTAAACGAAAATGTTACTGAGTGGCATATTTACTGTGCCGGAGTAGCTGGCCTGCACCCGCGCCACTTTTGTTCTTAAATACTAGTCTATTTGAATTCATAGATGTCTTTGAAAAACAAAAAATGTTATTTGTTCCAAAAAGGAAGTATGTGATCTGATATTTTTAATTATAAAAGTATAGTACAGGTTGTAACATATCAATGTCTGACTCAGGATCTTCAAGCACAAGATCGTGCGCATCGTATTGGACAACGAAATGAAGTGCGCGTTTTACGTCTAATGACAGTCAACTCTGTTGAAGAGAGAATTCTAGCTGCTGCCAGGTAACCATTTTTACAGATGATTCTAACAATATGTACATTTTATAACCCTTCGATGCCTTTCACATTAACTATATTATGTATATCAAAGTTCTGAAGTACGAACTCTTTGAAGTGAAAACTTCTTTAGAATCGTTGTGATTTGAAACACGATGAAATGAAAAAGCAACACTAAAAAGAGACAAACATATACATCTATGGAATTTAGCCTGCGGGAGAATGTCATAGAATACATTATACGGTGTTTCCTATTATCTCGGTCTACTTTTTGAAGGTTTCACTTCTACTGCTTGTGAACTTCACACGTTTTATGACGGTATTTTTATTTATTTAAGTTTTTGGTGACCAAGAAAAAAACATGCGTGAAGTTCACACGCGGTAGTGTGCTAGCTTCGGTTTGAATTCGGGATTCAAGATTCGATTCTGTTCCGAATAAGCCAGCTGATCGAAATAAAAAGAGAAATGGATCAGTAGACTGAAGTGACAAATGACAATAAGGAAAGGTTCTCGGATGGTAGCCTAATACTAGTAAGTGCTGTGATCGATGATCTCCCAATAGATGGAGTGAAGATATTGAGCAAACAGGCTTGCAATCAGTAAGGGAGGCTTGTGGGGACTTGTGATGGACTATTGTTACATTGTTTTATAGAAAAACGTAAAACTTTGCTTTCAGAAGTGTAGCCATGGTTCCATTGATTATTTAGAGATGATACTTAACAGTAATTAGAGTTTCGTTTCATCTTTGAATCTTCTTTTTCCAGTATTTAACTGATTGCAGATATGATGAAAGTATTCTTAAATGGTATGGCGCTGTATTATCGCCTTGTTACGTTGAATAATTGATTGATATTATTTGCAGGTACAAACTTAATATGGACGAAAAAGTCATCCAAGCGGGTATGTTTGACCAAAAATCTACAGGTTCTGAACGGCAGCAGTTCTTGCAAAGTATTTTGCATCAAGATGGCGACGATGAAGAGGTTAGTTTTGTTATTGACAATTCCATTATATTTAAGAACCAACTAAATGATTGTATATTATGCTCCGAATTTATATTAGATACAATAACATATCATAATCATAAGTTAAATACCCCTGAAACAAAAGAGACGATGATCTTCAAACGTCTGAACAAGTTTTCTTGAAACATAGCTAAGAACTTTCGATTAAGACATCTTTCAAACGAAAAAAAAAACTTAATTAAATTTATCCGATCACACGCTACAAACTTTTACCACCCTTCTATTTTCGTCGGGATTCTAAAAAACGTTGGTCAACATTGTTATGATTATTAAGTTTTTCACGTTTCTTTGTATAATCTTTATGGTAATTTTTAATTCTTAATTTAAAACTCCCTATTTCAAGGAGGAAAATGAAGTACCCGACGACGATCTTATAAACGAGATGATCGCTCGCTCCGAGGAAGAGCTGGAGATCTTCAAGCAGATCGACATTGAACGCAAAAAGACTGAGACCAAGAAGCGCCTCATTGAGGAGTCCGAGCTGCCCGACTGGTTGGTTAAAGACGACGATGAAGTCGTCTGTAACAAGGTATATTATATACTTTTTACTTTCTCAAGCTTGTGTGTAATTAATGCTTTGATGGTCAGTCGTCGTACATTACACAATTATAATTCGCCGTGGGATAGACACAAATACAACAGTATAATAATACATATTAAATATATGTAAACATATTTTTTTTTTATAGAATGAGGGTGACAAACGAGCACACAGTCAATCTGATGGTTATTGGGTTCTGGGACCCATAGACATCTACATATATCCTCGATTAAGAATTAAAATGCCATATGCATTTTCATCCCTGAGGACTAAGATGAAATGCCTCGTTTCCGGTAAAAAGGGTCTCCAGTTCTCTAAACTCACCATAATAAACACAGCAGTGTTCAGCTGCTATTTCACGCTAGTATTCTGTGCGAGCTTGGTCCTTCCCCGGTCGAGATGACCTATTCATGCTACAACTTAATTTAATGGAAGCAATAATACCAACACAGTTTATTCTACTATAATATGGCAAAAACAAAATACAATTTCTTGTTGTTTAACCAATAGTTAATGGTTTCCTTAATATTCATTAATATTGTAAAATATTTGTTTATTCATAATATAAAGTAAAAAAATCTGTTATTTTCAGTTCAATTATTGTATCAGATTTAAAATTATCTTTAAATTCTTCATTAAATTTATGTACAGGGTCAAGGTTGGAACTACCTGGACGAAGATGAGACTCTGGGGCGTGGATCCCGGCAGCGCAAAGAAGTCGACTACACCGACTCGCTTACAGAAAAGGAGTGGCTAAAAGCCATAGATGAGGAATTCGAGGACGAAGAAGAGGAAGACGATGATGATGAAGTTTTGGATAAAAAGCGGAAGAAAGGACGTAAACGACGGTATGTTTGAATGGTTTATCGTTACACAAATAAAATGTCTTAGCAAAGAAGCTTGTACAAATATTTTAGCATTTTAATGATTTTCACTGTGGCAGAACAGCAATGAAACCTAAATCACGCTACCGCACAAGGGATTGTGTTAGACATTGAGCAAATGACCATAAATAGTAAACATAAAGCGTATGTCTATGATGCAACAAAAGGAAGACTCATGTTTTGTTATCTATGCTCATCTAGGCCATATATTCCATTTTAGAAAGTACTCTGTGATTCCATTTATACTCTTATTACGTACTAACCTTGTTTTTCATATTAATAAGAAAATTAAGTTCAAATAAATAATTAAGTGTAATTATTATAAATATATTTCACATACACAATAGATTGTATATACTGGCCTCCTGATTCCGAGGATACCCCAACCACTAAGTGATCGTAAAGACACTACAGTGTACACTACAAAAGTTTCCTAAGAATGTTTTTTGTTGTATTCAACAAAATAGCGAAACAACTTTTTACCAAAAACGTCGAATACCATTTTAGACTGCAAAGCTTAGCACATTTACGCATTTTAAATAAATTGTTATTTTTCACTTTTGCGAATAGAGATGGATACGGCTTTTTATTTGTCACGGTTATGTTATCAAGTAGTTTAAAATAAACTAAAACTAAACAATATGTTGATTAAAACTATTTTTACGGATTTTATCGCGTTTATTTTACTATTATTTTTAATTCCCGACGTTTCGGGCGCTTTCCAGCACCCGTAAGCACCCTTTCCAGCACACGTAAAAATAGTTTTAATCAATGTGTAGTGTTCGCGTAAATATAAGAAATCATTAAAAAATATGTTTTACTTTACCCCAAATAAGTGGGGTGAGTTCAGGAGAGGGGGTTAGTTATGTCACGGGCCCTCCACTACCTATTTATCTATCTCCAAATTGTTTATTGATCCATTAAGCATATCACACTGTAAAATAGGGCTCATCCTACATTGTATTATTGTCATTCACAACACACCCAAATGTTTAGGGACGAGACTCAGCAGACAGTTACTTAGAATGCTGGCAGACATTTTATTGTGTTTCAGCATTGTGCACATTAAAGATCGTCTGGTGAAAGTAACTTCGATCATAAATAACCATCTAAATATAACCATATAGTTAACATAAGGGATCGAAAATGGTATGCATGCTAGCTGTTAGCCCTCATCATAATGTAGCTTCTAAACAACTTTTTACAAAACTTTAAATTGTACTGCAGCATTCTGAGTGCTTTCTAGAGGGTTTTGTTGAAAGTACCCAAGAATAAATTTCTGTATGTCCCTGAATTGACAGCCGATTGTGTTTGACACAGTGAACACAAAAGATTTACAACTGACAAACACCATATTAAATTATAATGACTTAATCTGGTACATAACAGACGTCAAGATGATTCTGATGAAGAGGAGGTACCAAGCTCCTCGAAGAAAAAGAGCAAAACTGAAATAAATCAAGTGAAGAAGCGTTTGAAGAATATCATGAAGAAAGTAATTGACTATACTGATGAGTAAGTAGTTCTTAATTTAATATTAGTTAGCAGTAGTAATATCGCTTGATTATCCATACCATAAATGAATCAAAACGCTGTATGAGAATTCATCATCTCGTATCCCATGTGGGTTGTAAGAGGCAATTCAATGTCAGAAAAATGTTATAGGAATCAATATTTATTTTTAAATACACTGTGTAAAATAACTTTCATTGATTCATTTCTTCATTACAGCCTATCAAAGTACATTGCTAAAAATAGGCCTCCCTTAGATTGCCTCATAAGGGGGTTATTAGAAAGATGCTGCAGCACATCTCCTGTTTCCCTCTGTTTCCTCTTATAACACCCAAGGGGTAATATGGAGTAGTGGATAATCTCGCACCACAACTGCGTGGCATAACAATGAATGTTACTTGAACCTTGGTGTTCATTGCCTGATTTGTTTACCTCTGTCGCCTCTTATGACGCCCACACGGGACAATATGGAGTAGTGGATATTCTTACACTGCCACTAGGCTCGTCTAAATAATTTAATATACTGTAAATAACACTTTTAAATACAAAATAGTGACTACCGTAGATATTAATATTAAATAAAGTATATTAAAAATAAAGTTTTAATCTGTCAATATCAATACATTTTACAAGAATTATAGCCCATATTCACAAACATACTTTATTTATAGTATAGAGTCATACGTCGACTTACGCTACCCCGTTTTACGCAAATTCGGAGATACGCGGTTTTTCATTTGCAAGTTCGAACGTGTTACGAGTGGAATTGTTTTACGTACCCAATACACGTTTAGTTTACGACAAGCTCGAACGTGTTCCTCGTGGAATTATTGTACGTACGTCATTCTAAAGATCAAAAAATGAGTAATTTGAACCTAATAAGAAAACACGAAAAACACTTTTCTTTGGAGTGTAAACTAAATATTATCAAAGACTTTGAATGGAAAATAAAAATTTGTGAATTGGCAAAGAAATTTGACCTACCGGAATCAACAGTCTGAACGGTTATAAAAAGTAAAGATAAAATTACGGAAGCTGTGAAGGGCTCTTTCTTTTTCAAATCTTTTAAATCAAGCAATCATTCGTAAACGTCACGGTATTATCGCTCAGATGAAAACAATGTTACAATTATGGTGTGATAATCAAGTAAGACTTAAAAATTGTCCTGTTGACCAAAACACAACACATGCATTTACGTGAGAAAAGAAAAACTTAACTTATCAGGCGACACTGTTAGAATATATGAAGCCTTCGACATCAAAATAACTTCTGCTTATGTGTTTTATCCATCGTAATGTAAATTGTTTTTATGATCTAACATTTTATTAAACATGATTCCTCTAAATTATTGTTTTCTTTAGACTAGTCCCGATTTCACTTTATAAATAATAAATTGAACCCTGACTTACGCGAATTCGACTTACACGGCTATCGCTCCCCACCGATCGCGTAAGACCGGGGTATTACTGTACTATAAGATGTTTCTCAGTGTGTTCGATAGGGCTAGCCATTAATTTCATGAACAAATACTTGAAAGATTTCTTGATGTCCATTAGCTTACCATTGCAAGAGGTCTTTTTCTCAGTTACTCGAGTTGATAGTTGACACCAAGTTTGTCATTGTGTAATTGAATTCTCTCTTCATAATCTGTGTAGTGATATAAATAATAATCTATACAAACAGATATAGCCTTTGTCTGTTTGTAATGGTATCTTTTGCCTATCTATAGACGTTTTCAAATTTATCGGTACTAATAATTGGAAAGGTTTTGAAAGTCACATATCACATACTTGTGTCGATTGTTATTTTTAGGTTTATTCTCTCAAGGATATAATATATAATGATATATATATGTAATCCATCCCATATATACATAATTTTAAATAACTTAGAGCCGATTTTTCAAACTTCACATAAAATGTATGCAACTGTAGTTATATAAACAAACAGTTTATTTGTTTCACTTTTATATTCAGCTGGATATAGATTATTTCAAGAATAATTTATTTGACAAATAAAAATCGACCCTTAATTTGTTAGAGAAAATTTACAATTGAATTTTGAATTCATTACATCCTTGGCTTCAACATCGAATTTTTATGTTGACAGCGCTGGACGAGTATTGTCCGAACCATTTATGAAACTTCCTTCGCGACGCGAGCTACCAGATTATTATGAGGTTATCAAAAAACCTTTGGACATCAAAAAGATCATGAACAGAATTGAAGATGGCAAGGCAAGTAGAAAATAATTTTGTCACACAATTAAAAACAGTAAACTAGTTTAAAGTTAAAGAAGTATGGGATCAAGATGACAACTGCATTTAAATTTTTAAAAATAAAAAGTGCAAAACTGTGCTATGTAAAGCTTATAAAATTCAATTTTTTTTATGTGACTTTCTGTTTGCAATGTATTGTCTATTTGTAGTAAGACCATCGGTCATCAAATTTTAATAAGGATATTTAAAAAAATATCTAATATTAATTTAGTGCCATTATTTCACCAAATATTCAATATTTTCATTTTGCTATTATACAGTAAAAATATTATATAAGTAATTTATTTTCCTTATTTTGAATTTTTATATGAATTAACACTTTAATTATCAATCTTTTATTGTTGATAATAAGCAAGAAACGGGAACAGCTAGCAAGTACTTAAACAAATTTGGTAGGCTAGTGATTATAAATTATTCTCATTTAGAATATCTAAACTTATAGAAAAATAAATATATATTTATAATAGAAGTAATGTTATCAAGCGCATTGACATAAACACAATCCTGACACCTTTCCACAAAGCATAGTTAGTTTTTTTATTTGGATTACCAAGGTTAAGGCTGTAAATTACAAATGTCTATGAAAAAGATTTAAGTAAATTCGTCATATTATTTTTAATAATAAATCATCAATATTAATATTGCTGAGATCTAATTCTAAATGTAATGTTATGACAAAAGAAAATTTGTAAGTATCAAAAATTAACATAAGTCTTATAATAAAATAAGTTTTCTTTATGAGTTATGACTTATGAGTAACAAAAATTCGGAGTTATTTAATTCGGCACGGCAGTCACTTATTTCTTACATACAACTTTATTCCCATAATGTTATTTTGAATAACTGGTTACAAATGGATATAAGCCAGGTATTAGAATAAAAAGCAAAAGTGATAGAAAAGTTAACCGGCCATGTCAGATTACCCTCATTTCCAAAGTAGACTTTTTGTATTTATTTCTTACTTTAAATACACTGTCTAAATGTATACATACTACTGAAGAATATTATTGTAATTGAACAAGGCATAAATACATGTCTTTGGTTTATAAGCGTTTGAATATCAGCTTTTTTGTTTGAAGTCAAAAGGAACCCTTCTATTATATAACTTCTGTAAACGAGGTTGCACTACATAGGATATGTCTTTGGTTTATAAGCGTTTGAATATCAGCTTTTTTGTTTGAAGCTAAAAGGAACCCTTCTATTATATAACTTCTGTAAACGAGGTTGCACTCAGGGTGCTTTTTAAAGTTGTAATTCCTTAAAATCTTTTTGAATGTATAGATTATATATTTTGTAGAATACCTTCACTCCATTTGGATCACTGTTTATTTTTTCCAGGTGTATTATTTTTAACTGAAGTATTAACTTGATCTCCTTCAGTGTTTTTATTCTATTTGTATTCTTTTAACTTTTTAATATCGTAGATTTCACTGTCACAAATTACGTCTACAACGTTTACTATATATTCCGTTTTTTTTTCGCTACTCTTATACGTTGCTCGCAGCAATTGTTTAAATAAAGTGTAACATCAAGACAGTTGTTCCTATGGACATGTTTTCCAAATATTTTAGAATGCATGTTCCATTTTCGTTTGCACCTCTTTGGCCTTGAACTTCATTCCAGAAAAAAACATTCTGTATGGTCTATTTTCAATTTGCAAATAGTAAAATTTAAACAAAAGCTTAAAATATCAGCTTTTTTGTTTGACTACTTATAAATAAAACGTGGATACGTCCGACTTTAAGTACAGAATAAAAGTTACTTTACAATAGAATAAAAATTATTTTATTCTATTCTATTCTGGTTATCGAAGCACTTTTTGCTTTAAAATAGCCTTTATAAGTAATACTAAATACTAATACATACATAAAATGAGTATTTTATCCCGCTTTTCACACTCATATTTTTAGTGGGCTATTATTAATTTTAGAACATTTTTATCCTTTTATCAATCTAAACAAATACATTTCACTTACATTACATTTCACGGTCTTTTTTCTAATTTAAAACATAAAAATTAAATTACTTACAATAGTACTTGAAATTAACTGCATACGAGGTGTGTTCAATGTATTCTCGATATCAGAGTGATTAGCTAATAATGTGGATAATTTAAAAAAATCATTAGGTAAAGCCACTACCTGAGGGTATAAATATGAAATTTCGTCTTGATAACTTCATTACTTATTAAAAAATCGAACACCGTGCGGTGATTGAATTCCTCACTAAACAAGGAAAATCTCAAAAAATCATCCATAAATAAATGATGGCCGTTTACCAAAACAGAATTCAAAAGCGGCAGGGAAATCATCGAAGATGACCCCCGCCCGGATGGGTCAATCACACCGGCTACAGAAGGAAATGTGTAAATTATTGAAAAAATTGTATTAAGATGCACGTGAAAGAATTAAGATGTTAGCAGAAATGACTAACCTATCCGTTGGTATCATACACATCATTTGCAGGACTCTCAATCTGACAAAAGTCAGTGCAAGATGGGTGCTGAATGCTCACTGCACTTCAAAAGCAGGCGGGGGTTGACTGTTGTAGGAAGTTTTTAGAGCTGTGTGGTGCGACCCAACAAGTGTTTTGATCTGATAGTTACAGGAGACGAAACGTGGGTTCACCACTGACTGAGAGTAAACAGGAGTCTATGCAATGGCATATAAAGGGATCAGACCCCTTCCCCCCAAGAGTCACTCCATCGCCTGGTAAAATCATGGCCAGTGTTTTGGGATTTCAAAGGAATACTATTATATTTATTGAGTACACAAAAAACGGTGAAAACCATCAACACAGACAAATACTTAGCCACTTTATGCTGTTTGAGAAAAGCAATAAAAGAAAAGAAAAGAAGAAAGCTGACCAGGGGAGTGCTGCTTCTGCATGCACACGACGCCGCTCTCCGAGGCTGCTATACGGGACTGCGAGTTTGAGGAAATTTACTTTTATTCCTAAACTTAAAAAAAAAAACCTTCGGGGAAAGCGGTTTGTTGACGTCAATGAGCTGGTCCACTGATTTTTTCAAGGGAATAGAAAAGCTTTTTTGTGAACACGTAACTATATTGATGTTATGGGAGAATATTATATTAAAAAATAAATTATTATCTTTTTTCTAACATACCCATACTGAGAATACATTGAACGCTCCTCGTAAATAACTGTGTCGACGCCGAAAATCGAAAATTTGTTTTCTGATTTTTTCTTTGTATACCCTGTGTATTGTTATTTTAACGCCAAATTTCAATTTTCTATCGCCTAGAAGTGGTCTAGGTCTAGGGTTTTGATGACTGTATTAGTGAGTGTTAAAGTTAGTTTATTCACTTTAAGAATATCAAAACTGGAGTGTGTTGAGGTATTTACAAAATTTTGAATCAGACCTTTTTAATTATATACCAGGTACCAAGGTATAAGGAGCCATAATAATTACAGGCCATGAAGCATTTAACTCTTAGTCCTCCCAGGTGACATGCAAAATTACTAGTTTATAGGTCTATAAAATTTTGAGTAATGGGCTGTGTAGGGGATCGAAACTCGAATCTCCTAAAGGTTCTTGTACTATTAAACACTGCTGGTGCGTTTCTTTTTCATGACACACTTGTGTCTAGATATTCTTTCTCATTGGTTATCAATATTTAGATGAAAAATTAAATATGTTCTAGTAAAACACAGCTTAGTTATATATTAATAATTTCTGTTTCTTGAACAGTACACTGATATGACGGATCTGGAGCGCGACTTTTTCACGTTATGTGCTAACGCGCAGACTTACAACGAAGAAGCGTCGCTTATTTACGAGGACTCTGTGCGCCTCCGCAATGTGTTCATTGAGATACGTCGCCAATACGAGAATGGACAGAACTCTGATGATTCTGATGACAATGATAAAGGTAATTAGAAGTTCCAAAATTCACTTACTTTTTACTACATTCCTATCTTTCTTTTTTGGTCACTTTTTCGTACCTGCGTTAATTACACTCGCATAATTATTTATGAAGCTATCTCTGGGTTAAGAAATAAATCAGAAAGATAATTTAAATATGGTTTTTCGCCTCTCTCAAACCATTTTGCTAGAGATGTGTTCAGTCTATTTGAATAAAAATTTTGAATTATATCCTCTATAAGCAAGGCTGTCTCACTTGAAGACCAATCAATATTTGAAGACGCAGCCCGTTAAAAGTAACATAAACCATGCCTGTCATCCAGAGGGGTAGAATGAGACGACAGACCTAAAAAATTAAAATCAACTTCAAAAAACTTAAGGGTCTATACTACCTCAAATGGCTTAGCAAGATCCTCCGTTATGCCGAAAATATTGCAGCATTAATTTTGAAATAAATATATGGTAAAGTTGAGGATTAATGTTAAGTACTATGTTAGACAAAAACACCGATTCCATAAAATTTCTCGATAGAAAAAAAATCTAAAGTTACCTCCAAACCGAACAATAAACTGCTGGTATTCACAAATTACTTTAAATTAGATCATGAAACTTTGCATACTAACTGAACTATCTATAAAGCAGAGTTTGTCTTTTTTTTAATTACCATTATTTTCACTGTAAAAATAAATTACTTAAACTATCGGCGTCCTGAAGCTTGTTCTCTGCCGCCCGATACTCCCGCTCAGTCTCGCTTCGGCTTTCGAATGGGAAAGCTGTGTCGCTTACGATCAGAATGCACATTACCCAACAGAACGACGCAAAATTAAAATGAGAAATAATCGTAATAAAAATCAAAACCGACTGGTTTGGCGTGAAGAGACGGCATAAATATGATAAACCTAATGAAATAAGTATCTAACAACCTATCTACTTACAGTATTAGTGATTACAAACATGTCGGTACATAGTAATACGACGCGTGGGGAAGTAGGGGCGAAATTAGAATTTGAGCTGAGGTAGTATAGGCTTCAGGCTCTTAAAGCGCCATAAAAGTCCTATGCAGTCGCATGCGCCCGGCAAATCCCAAGCGGTCACATGCGACCGCACCCACCCACGGCACTAAAACCATTAAAACTTATATTTAGAGACTACTTTTCTATGAAAAAGTTTAGCATTATAAAATCTATACAAAATTCTATATCTTGTGGTCTAAACAAAAGTCCGGTTTTACTTCATTACAAAAAGATTTTATTGTATTTTGATAACAAAAAAACATACCAAGCGAATGTCGGCAGCGTGAAAATCACAATTATTTCAATATATATTACTCGAAATTATTTACGTAAAAAGATAAATTATATTCACACAAAAACTTTCATTACAATTTTATAGTAAAACACTATACTAAAACACTAGAAAAATCCAAAAATCAACACAATAACATTCACGCGAAAATGGCGTACGAAATAAACGGAAATTTAAATAAATATTCATAGGATAACATTTTTTTATCGCACTAGAGGATAGAGTATTTCATATTGGTTATATAATGCCAAATTTCTTCATAGAAAAGTAGTCTCTATATATAAGTTTTTATGGGTTAAAGTGCTGTGTGTGGGTGCGACCTCATGAGACTGCTAGGGATTTGACGGAATATGGCCGCGATCTCATGAGACCGCTAGGGGGTTGAGAGGTTAAAGAAAATCCACATAATTTAATAGTTTCTGAAGTCGGGCCTTTTAATTATTTGATACATTGTTTTACAACTTCAGAAGCGATTAAATTGTGTGGGAATTATTTTACCCTTTTAAGTGAATTAAGCAATTTCACAAGCTTAAGATAACTACAATATTGTCTTAATGGCTATCTTTTATGTATAGCCTATTTAATAAAGAAGAGGATTATAAAAATCAGTTCACACTGCGTCGAAATCGCGTAACATATGTGTGTCATGTACATACAAAAAATATAGTCAATTGGCAATCACTCTTTTTGAAACTTGCAAAAAAAAGTTCAGAAAAGGTATCGGAGACAACCAATTTGAATATTCTGCATAATGGTCTTGACACGTTAATAGTGTGGTCGCAATAAAAGCAGCTATGAGTAGTGTGTTACCGAGTTTTATAACCTTTTGTAGCGAAAACAAGAAAGAGGTTGTGGGTCAGGTTTCTTACTGGAGGAGAAACTTGGGTTCATCATTGAGTCTAAGTTAAGCAAAACTTTATGCAGTGGCAAAAAAAAGCACACCACCCGCTAAGAAATTCAAGGTGTCCAAATGAAATCCTTTTAATCAAAACCTATAAATAATTTATTTACAGCAAAAATTAACACTGACATGTTTTTTTTAGACGATGACGACTCTGATGGAGAATCAAATCGCTCAGTGAAAATGAAAATTAAGTTGAAAGGCAAAAGCAAGAACACACCCACAAGAAAACGCAAGCAACGCAAGTACATTTCTGACGATGAAGATTATGAAGAAGATTAGATATTTTATATAGTTTTGATTATTCATGTATGTTGAGTTATTATAATAGTTTTTTTAGTTTCAGTTTCTCATGACATTGAAATGTAATAAAATCTTGTAGTAAATATCAATTTTAAAGACAATTCTTTAACATCTGTTTACTAAAAAGGTTTATTTTGAATTTTTAACACTTTGACATAAAGTAGTTGTGTGTCGGAAATATTAAAAATATTTAGCTAGCAAGTAAGGAAGTATTAAATAATCATTAATCATTTAAATTATTTCACAATGTGCAACTTCAAATATTTCTCAATATTCAGCATATAACTATTGAATTGAAATAGTTTTTACAATAGCTATTTAGTGTATGTTAAATAAAATTTCTTAGATTCAATAAAAATATATGTTTATTGATGTAACCTATTTTATTTCTTTTCAGTAACCACAACTAGTTTAATCTTCCTTGATTCTTTCCACTTGATATCTGCCCATTTGTACTCAATACCATGAACACTTTGCATGTGTTTATTCAAACTAGGGCTATGAGTGAATCGTTGACCACAAGTCGAACATGGGAATGGTTTGTCACGTGTGTGAACTCTTTTATGTCTTTGAAGATCGCCTTTTGTATAAAATGATAAATTACATAATTCACATTTAAATGACTTTTCCCCAGCATGTCTGAAACATTTTACATGTCTATAATTATATCATCATCATAACAGCCTATAAAAGTTGACTGCCGAACATAGATCTCCCCATAGATTGCATTATAGGAGGGATTTTACCCTGATATTGGTTTTAGAACAGATTCGATGATTCGTATTTATAAAGTCAGGTTGCCCTAAACTCTGCTATGATAATGGCAAATGAAAGGGTGTAATGTGAATTGTTATAATTTTGTTTTCTAAAAACCTCTTGACTGCTGTCCACTGTGATACAATTTGTTGTATATGAGTCCTGTCTTTCAGTCTTCAAGGGTATCCATGTTATAAAAAATAAATTGACATATTTGTGTTTCGTTAAATGCAATTTTTAGTAAAATTTATTTTTATTGTAATTAATTCAAAAAGCATTTCCGAAATCCAAAAACAGTGTAAAAGGTTCAAGCTTAAGCCTGACAAACTTTCTAAATTGAAAACAAAATTAAATAATCAAGTACCGAATGTCTACTTCATAATACTAAACCAAATTGACACATTTGTATTTCGTTATAAGCAAATTTTAGTGATATTTATTTTTATGGTAACTAATTCAAAATGTTCGAAAGGGGTTAAATAGGTTCGAGCTTAACCCTGAAAAGCCTCCTAAACTAAAAACATTATTAAAATCAAGTTCCAGGTGTCTATAGACAACCTATTAGATTGTCTCATAGAGGGGATTTTGCCATATTTACCACATTAGGCATGCGGGTATGAATATATTAATATTGAAAATATTCTCTATGAAATAAATCTATAAAATTCCCTCCTGGATGATTAAATAATTCAGGAATGCAAACCAAAAACAAAAAATGCATTAAATTAATTCTAAAGCTTGAAATAATAATGATTGAATAAAACTATTTATACAGATTTTAAAGTGTTGGCTTACAGCACCCATGGTCACAGGGGGATTGATATGTTTGATGCCCCAATGTCATAGTTAGCCCAGCAACCTTCAGGTTTTTAATATAAATTTTTTTGATCCGATCTACACAGAACAAGCTTACAGTTAAGTCTTGCAGTGGTATGCTTGGGTTTGGATTTAATTTTGTTTATTATAGGATCCCAAGCAGATGGCAGCACCCATCCATCTTCTCTATAGAAATAAGGATATTTTTTTATTTTAATAGTCTCCCATATCATCCTTAGTAGGAATCGGTGTTCTTTTGGGAGGATTTTTGGTTTATCAAATCTGATGTAATGGTAGAGATGATCTTGAACATGTTCTCCAGACTACAGATTTCCATGTTAACTTAACTATGAAGTTAGGATGTCAAACATCTCAATGCCCCCTGTGACCATAGGTGCTGTAAAGCACCCGAAACATTGGGAATTAAAAATAGGTTAATTAGATGTGATAAAATCTATATAACCACTCAAATGTCAGGGTCATTTTGGCCAATATGGTGCATCTGTCGAGCACTTTCCGTAGTATATTAAGTATATAACAAGAATACTAAGTAATATTATATATATATACTAAGTAAGTATATTAAAATCATATATCAATGGAAACATTATTAAATAAGCTATTAGATTATGCATAAGATATATACATTATATATATATGTATGTTATACATATCATATATATGTTACAAATAGTTTGCTATCACTCGACGCCATATTATGGCGTTTGACAGATGCGTATATTATTTGAGACGCCAGAATATGGTGTTTGGACAGACGAGGGGATAAATAGTTTTATTCAATGTGTAGTGTTTGTAAAAATATAAGATATCATTATAATAATCATGATTTACACCAGTTACCATAATGCTGCTTTGTTCCTTGTGGTGTAAAGATTTTGAGACTTAATTTTAACCCATTTTACTAATAAAGCATTCCATCTTAGTCCCCAGGAGTGAATGACAAAATGTCTCAATTTTAATTCCCAGTTGATGATAGATGTAGGTGATTAATTAGATTAGAGACACCAGTACTGGCATTATGTGAGTTCTTTCCAGTTAAGCCAACCCATTCATGCAGCATGGTTTTACCACATAAACACAACAGAACTAATTTTATGGATTTTAATGTGTTTAATTGAACATATTTTTACTTATTTTTATTAAATGCAACACAATCCATAAAATTATTTTATCAATAGTAATATCTATTCATGTAAAGAAATCATTTAAAAAGTATATCTAAATCATCGTTATTATGTTGTATTTAAGAGTATTTAAGTATAAAAAATTACCGTTTTAGATGAACAGCTAAATTTTTCTTTGCATGTGTTTTATATCCGCATAGTTGGCACTCAACTGTTTTCACCACATCATGCTGTTTCTTGTGATTTATTAATTCTGAACATGTTACAAATGTTCTTCCACAGTCTTCACAACTATAATTATGTATGTTGTTATGTCTCTGCATATGTGCTTGATATGATGGTTTTGATTTAAGCAATTTTTTACAGATGTTACAAGAAAATTTACCGATTTCATGGACATGTAAGTGTGTCTTCAAACTAAATGCATGTTTGAATTGCTTACCACATACTGAACAGGTGTAATATGTGACAGTACTATGAATCTTTCGATGTGCAGCTAAACTAGAAGATTGAGTAAAACTTTTTCCACAGTCACAATGATATGGACGTTCTCCGTTATGCCTCCTCATATGATTAATTAAAGTCTGACTGTGGGGTGTAGCATATGGGCATTTTGTACAATGATAACGACGAGTAGGCCCAAACCCCGTCACTGTACCTAAATGCTTCCTTTTTTGATGCATAGAAATTTGATGCCTCATTAATGATGCTTCAGATTTAAGAGTTTTATTACAGCTGGTGCAATTTAGTTCAATCTTCGTTATTTTACCAGTATTGCTTAATGCAGATTCTAAAATTAAATAGATTCATTTTAGTTGTCATAAAATATAAACTATGATAGAATTTTAGTTTCCATAAACTTTTAAATAAATCTTATATAAAAAGTAAAACATAGGTACCTATTATGATTTTGTTGATTACCTGATTTATCACTCTCTTTGTCTAAATCTGCTCTATCAGGGCTCTGTTGTGTTCTTAGAACTTCATTGATGCTGCTTACATCTCCATCTCTTACTATAAAATTGTCATTTACTGGTAAGATGTACCTTTCTAAAAGATCTTTAGTGAATACTGCAAACTTTTCTTCGGACGTCAAACATTTTTCACGAAATTGCCAAGTAATATTCAGTTCTTCTACACATTCTATACAAATTAACGACGGTAAATATTTGTTTTGCGTGAGTTTAATATGAAAACATACAAATATTTTGTTCAACACATTTTTTGACTGTTCTTGTTTAGAAAATAAGTCTATTGTACGCGATTTGGTTTTCAGGCATATTCGACAAGGGCTTTTAAAATTGGAGCAATGTAACAAATTGCTCGCATTATCCATCGTGATCATAAGCAATCACAATGCCCTTTATCATGATCACAATCAGAACTTTTTACTTTATAATTTGTGACTGTGATACCAGGCTCTACAATCTTAGAACAAAAAACTCGGAAACCTATGAAATGCTATTATGCAAAATTAAGACGCACTTAGTAAACTATTTAAAACCATATCTATTGACTACTTTTTATTTTAGTCGTATTATAAAATCGGTATTATTCCAACCGACAATAATTTTTTCTTCGTAGGTGACACTGTTCGCAATTTCAAGCGAATAATTCGTTCATCACATACTAGATGTCGCCACTACCTGTAGGTAGCTTTACAAAATATTTAAAAAAAAAATTCCGATTAGTAGAAAATAAGTGTAGCTGAAATTAAGATATTTTCTTTTGTTTAAAGTTAATAAAAATCTGTGATGAAAGTTTTTAACGTTTGCTTATAAATAAATACCGATTACATGTGCTGTTGATTAAAAAAACAATAACTAGATGTTTTTGGTATGATCATAGATAAGAGTGTATATACGGAAAGGTATGATTTTGAAACTAAATCTGGCAGCACATCATCCTGCCAAGTGAATTTATTTAAGCTTTCCGTACAACCATTTTCAATTATTTGTATTTTGTGACATTTGTTTCAGTTTATACAAAGGTACTCTCTGTGTGATACAAATGAATCAATGTCATTAGCACTAACACCATGGAGTATGTAGTGTAGAAGTAAGGAGTACCAACTCCCATAGTAGAATAGTTGAAAAAGTGGCCATCTGTAAGCAGTAAATAACTTAACAGTAAATAACAGGGATGAAATGAACTTAGCAGTTGTCGACGGTTTAAGGCTGCTGCTAAACTGCTCAGTAGCTCTAAAATCTAAAATAATTTTATTTAGTAAATATAACCTCGAAAAAGTCGTCTATCCCACTAATATTTTTCGGTACGTTCTTTAAAACTTACCCCGTAGTTATAGTGGCGCCACCCTTATTTAACAGTTTTCTATGGAGACTTTATAATACACAGTCTAACCATGGAGGTTAAAGAACAGGCACAGAGCCACAGAGTACCTTTGTATAGAACAGGAGAACGATCGCTAAGTATAGCCCGCCTGCCCTTGAAAATTTTAGAATTTATAGCGGCGCTGACGTCCAACTACTCCATATCTTCCCGAGGGTGTCGTAAAAGGAGGAAACAGTCAGGAGATGGGCAGCAGCATCTTCCTCATAGCAGCAACTCTACAACAAAAAAAATACGTTTGCCAACCAACTTGCCAAGCGTGGCAACTATGGCAATATATCCCCCATGAGCAACGACACACATAGATGGCCCCCAGTCCCCAGCGGCCCCGCTATTCCTAGAGATCCACCGTTTTCATGGTCGCAACCGACCATGGTAACGATGGGCCAGGGGGCGCTAGTAATCACCCGTGGAGGTTCGGTTGCCACCTAAAACGACTTGACCTGGCAACTTACCTCGCACGCTTCCTGAGGACTGACGAGAAGATCCTGGAGCTGAAGAAAATATTGACAAGTTGCGCTGGAATATTATAGGATTATCCGAGGTCCGAAGAGAGGGGGAGGACACGGTGATTCTCGATTCCGGCAACTTGCTCTATCACCAGGAGGGCGACAATCTGTCCCAAGGAGGTTTTGGATTTATCATCCACAAGTCTCTCGTCAATAACGTTGTAAAGATTGGGAGTGTGTCGAAGAGGGTTGCATACCTTATACTAAGAATTACCAAACGCTATTTGCTGAAGGTCATACAGGTTTACGGACGCACCAACGTCGGCACATCCCGATGAGGAGGTGGAGGAAATGTATGAGAATATTTCTAGAGCCATGCATTCCTCCAAAACCAAATACAGTGTTAATGGGAGACTTCAACGCAAAGCTAGGCAGATGATTTATAACAAAAAGGAGCGCGCGAAATTTTATAAACAGACCTTTGGGAGTCTGGATGTCATGAAAAATCTATTGAATGTATCTGTTCAAAATAAAATAATTTGCATTTTTGAACAACTAATCTATCCCCGTATGGTAACTGTTTTGCAATTTTAGTTCTTCTTATGGTATTTATTTCCGCCCAAATATGTGATAAAACGAGTGTTGAAATTTAGAATTTTCGACGCTTATAACTTTTAAACATACTCTTTTTTTACTTTTTTGTTTCCATACAGGGCTAGATAATGATGATTTTTATTTTGAACGTACACTATCAAACAGTGGAATAATCGCCAGACTACGTTTGTATGGAAGATTGAGCGACTAGAGTACCCTTAAGGTGTATCCCTGACCAAAATCTTGCGAAAGTGCGTTTTCAGACTCTATTATCTCATTAGTTATGACGAATAAACTACATCTAAAAGCACATTATTAATGTTTGATATCTTATCATCACATTCCACGTTCTAATTTGTTTTTATGTGCTATAAAATATATTTAAAATTAACTTTTAAAAAATGACTAAAATTCTTGATTACATGCATCTGTTGCTAAACGCAACGCTCTAATCATTTGATGATTACACTAATAGATAGACAATTTACAATTCTAGATTCTCCACGTTTTATTTAATTTTTCGTTTTTCATTTTTAATTGAAATAATTCCAAAAACTGTGTGAGTGCTCCATGCCTGAAGTGCATTTCACACAGCGCTTGGCTTGCTAAGCACTTCTCTCCCTGGACATCCACTAATCGAGTGGGCCTAACGGAATCCCCCCAATTGTGCTGAGGACGTGTGCTCCAGAGTTGGCACCGGTCTTAACGCGTCTTTTCCGGTACTCCTACTCCATAGGCGTAGTCCCAAAATCATGGAAGACGGCTTTCGTCCACCCGATCCCTAAAAAAAGGCGACCGCTCAGACCCGTCCAACTACCGGCCTATCGCCATCACCTCCTTGTTCTCCAAAACAATGGAGTCCATTGTAAACTGCCAGCTCAGGAGGTAACTTGAGGATCACCAGCTGATTAGTGATCGCCAATACGGTTTTCGCTGTGGTCGATCAGCTGGTGATCTTCTGGTCTACCTAACTTATAGATGGGCGCAGGCAGTAGAGTCCAAGGGGGAGGCATTGGCCGTTAGTTTGGACATAGCGAAGGCCTTCGATCGGGGTTGGCACAAAGCGCTTCTTTCTAAGCTCCCTTCATATGGGATTCCCGAGAAATAGTGCGATTGGATCACCAGCTTTCATGCAGATCGGAGCATCAAGGTCGTTGTAGACGGTGCAACCTCCGATTACAAGCCTATTAATGCTGGTGTTCCACAAGGCTGCGTGCTATCGCCAACGCTGTTTCTTCTGCATATCAATGATATGTTGCAAACCCGTAACATTCATTGCTATTCAGATGACAGCACTGGTGATGCTCTTTACACCGGCCGTGCCAATATTTCTCGGGAAAACGTCTCCGATTCCCGAGATAGTACCGGGACAAACTTGTGTCTGAAGTTGAGTCTTTGCTGAACAGAGTCTCGGATTGGGGGCGACTAAATCTAGTGCAGTTTAACTCAGATTAGAAAATACTGTTGCTTCTCAAAATTATATTTGACCTCAAGGTAAAACATATCATATAAATGCTGTAGCTAAATAAAATAATAATACCTACTATTCAAGTATATTTTCAATTAAATTATTCATAGTAAATTCCTCGTCCAATATGTAAGTAAATGAAAATAACAAAATGAAGCACATGAACAAAATGAAGAATTAGCATGTAAAGTTCGAATCTATAATTAACATTTCGACAAATATAATAATTTACACCATAAAAAGCTAATTCAATATTAGTAGTATAGAATATAATTAAAAATAATCAAAATATTAATATATAGTAATTAGATAATATATGAGAATACATAATTCTAATATAATGCAACTAACCGTTTCTATTTCCATAAAATATTTTATTGATGTTGAAAAAATAATACTACGTTCAAACTGTAGGTGGCGTTGGCATTGCCACCGTACTTTACGTAGTGCTTTCTTAAATTGTTTGCATGCTCGTTTTATTTTTCAGACCATGATCACTTCGCACTCTAAAAAAGCTAGCAGTTGTCGATATTCTTAACAGCTTCCTCATTTAAAAAATCTGATAGAATCACTAACATAGGTAATTTTCCTTGGGTGATGATTTTGAAACTATAATCAGACCACTTAGAAATGAGCACCGTACGTAGTTTGGACAAAATTATCGAAGCGATATTAACGCCTTGCAGGTACTCCTCACGTCCAACTGCTCGTACTCCTGCCACGGCATTTTGTACCTTCACAGCAAACGGAACGATGTCTTTGTGATATTCCTGTTGCAGTCAGGGTTACCAAACCGTAGCTCCAATGTCTTAATCACTTTGTCTTGTGACGTGGCGCTAATAAACAATGCGGCTACTGCATCCCTCGCCTGCCCTCGTAGACACTTTTTAAGTCTCCGAAGGTTTTCTTTCGGCGTATATTTACATAACGCCGTTGATTCATCGTACGCTTGCTTAAATTGAAGCCATATCAATTAGTCACCTGAAAACTCAGGTAAATATTTCGGTGTACTCATACGGCTGAGCAAACTAGCTTCAGGCACGTTGTTTGCACAGTTAACTGAAATATCTTTCAAAGTACTAGCCAACATGTGAACCGCTGTATTTAGTACAGTCACGGTATCATCGAGTGGCAGCGGCACTGCGCTGGGCAGCGGGCCGGCCACGTGTTCGACGCGGGATGACGATACTTGCCGATTCAACGCACCCGTATAATTTCCTTTCTCGGGGGCTTGCTGCTCGATTGGGGGTTATTTGTGGGTACTTTGGTGGGCTACCCATTCTTCTAGCTCAATTCTAGGAGGCTCGTTTCCATCGATTTGTGAACTGTATCCTTGATATTCTTCCTCGTCGCTGAGTGCTGCCAATTGGGCGTCAGGGTTCAGGTCGATGAGCTCCATTTGAATGTTTGCCTACTGCTGAGCAGCTTCTAGCAGTAACTGCTTTTTCTTCGCTTTCTTAGATTTTTGAGATACTA